GAGTCACGGGGAAACGCTGTGAAAAGGAGAAGGAAACTGCAGGGCTGCAGCGCCCATCTCATCAGCTTTATTAAAATTAAAAAGACTCTGCTGAGTGGCACTGGATCAAGGCTGATGTCATCCACTATTTAGCTCACCTCTCCTGCTGCCTTCCAGCATATATCAGCCTCACAACATCCTCTGGGGGACAGGCCAGCACAGGCATCTACATCTCCAGACAACAGCCCCTTGAAGCACTCAGCTGTGTTGTGAGATGGTATCAGCCAGTGCAGAGCCCCAGGAATCTGGGAAAACCTGTGTGTGCCTGGGCAGGGTTGGTTATTGCAGAAACACCTGAGTCAGCTTCCTTTCTCCCTACTACCACCCCACAGCCTCCCTGCTCCTTGCTTTTCTCCTTCTCTCCGATCTCCACAGAAAATTGCATGTTGTTGAGTTTCCTGGCCCATCTATCCTCACTCATTTCTGCCTGGGAGTGCCACCTGCAGCCCTATGCCTGGACCACTCTGTAAGACAGAGCTTCCTCTCTGCTTCTGAATGGGACAAGGAGAATGGGACTGCTGGCAAAGAAGGGCAAAATTGGGAGGTTGTGAAGGGTGAAAACCTTCAGCCAAGGCACTGAAGCTAAACTGCAGAGCCTACTGGAGAAGATGAGCTGAAAAGAGATGATGCAGTTTGATAATGGTATCAAAGAAGTCAACGTGGAAAAGACACTTCCTTCATTTAAGTTTTTTTACAGGAGTACCTTATATGTGCACAGCAATGAATGAAAGCTTTGAAAACTAAGTGTAAGTCTACCAAATATACAGAATCTAATGGTCATTTATAACAGGAAATGTGAAACATTTTCTTAAAGCTCACATCATAACTGTTGTTGCAACTACTGTCTCTTCGTGGAGAATGTTATAAACAGCAGAGAAGAGGTCATATGATTAGACAATCACTTCTACCCTTATTTCTATTATTGTCACCATCCTGCCAGCAACATGAGTTATACTTGAATATCTCGCACAAAATAACTACTAATACACATATTGAGGGGCTTACCTTTGTTTAGATGTTTTGACAAAGCTACTGATCTGTTGATATAATTTTTATACACTTGGTAGTCAAACACATAATCAAGGACAGTTTAAAACATGCATATACAAGAGATGTGCAAGTCATTAAAGGCTGTGTACAAAAACTTGTGGTTAACACAAATTTACTTGTGATGACACAGAATCTTTGTGTGTATCTCATGTAACTGCAGATTTTTTTGTTCTCTTGTTGGAATCTTGAACACTGAGTTCTGCTTTACTGTCTAACCTAATTAGTTCACACTAAACTGAACTGATTTTGGTAATATTTTTGCTAGAGTTATTGAGCTCCCTACATAATTTCAGTGCTCTGGCTTTCACACACCTGCCTCATTTACTCACTCTACAGTCCTCCGTGTTAAAATATATATATATATATATATATATATATATATATAAAATCTGGCTTTATTTTATCTATTTGTCACGCTGGGATAATCACCAGATAACAAGTGAAAACCAAAATGAAGCAGAGGTGTCAGCATACCTCACGTCACAGGAGAAAAGACTGTCACCACCCGAGGGCGCTAAACCCTGGGAAACTAATTTGGCTCTAACAGGACACGGGAGAAAATGGGTGATTTCACTGGAAGCATGCCGGAATTTACCAAGATGATGCAACTTCTTATCTTAACACTGTCAGTTAAGTGCCAGAACTGATAAGAGTGGCCTTACCCCAACCCTACCCTATTCAGTAATCTGCTCTGTGAGTGCACCCACCAGCGCACAACCCACCACAATTAAACGTTGAACCTCTCTCATGCTGTTTAGGAGCAGTTCAGCAAGATCAGTGCAACTTTATCCATGCAGACATGATGGGAGTCACGCCTCAGACATGGTTAGTGAACAGATTCTGCACATACTCAACCCTCCTTAAGAATCTTTCTACCAGCAGGAAAAATATTAATTCCTTCTCTTCCCCCAAAAGACATCAAACAATTTGTGTGTGTGTGTGTGTTTTTTTGTTTTGGTTTGGGGTTTTTTTTGTGGCTTTCTTTGAATTGCAATTTTTAAGAAGGCTTTGATGGCAGCTGTAAACCGGGCAATCCAGTTATGGCAGCGTTAACTGCGGGATTACAGCCCTGAAATCTCTGTCTGTGCTTGAAAGGGGCTGCCGTTTAGATTCCCTTAAATCTCCAGCAGCTCTCTCCGAGCGGCTGCTCCTCACCCCGGGCTCCCAGAGCCGCGTCCCCGGCTCGGTCCTTCCCCGAGGTCAGACCTAAGAGGCTCGGCTTAGCTGGGACCGCGCCCGTGCGGTTTTTCCCTGCCCCGGGGAGAGCGCACACGGAGGGTTTGGTGTCGCTTCTGCTATTGTCAACGTGGCCAAGAAAAACATAGGTTATAGCTTGTCAAGTCATCTGTTTGTTTAGACGCCGTAGGTGTCACAGCTGCCAGCGCAGCTTCCTGCGAACAGCTGACTGTAAAGTGATGAAATAAGGAAAAAACGCAGTGAGTAATGACGAACTTTTGCATACTTTGTAAAACTTTTTTACTTTGAGAAGTGTTGGCCCTCTGCCGCCTTCAAGCACATCTCTTCATGGCCCCCTCTTTCCACTTCCTGATGGTTTTAGGGCTGCGCCGTAGCAGGCACAAAGAATCAGCCGTCTCCGTACACAAATTCACTGCCCGTTCCCATCGGCAAGCCTTGCTGTATTTCTGAGCGCCTGAGCCTGCTATTCCAGCAGCTGGGTTTCCCTCAGGAACTGTGTGTAGTGGGAGGAGTCAGATCTCAAACAGCCTCTGAGTAATGAGCAGAAAAAAAAAATGCTGTGATAACTGAATGGTAGTTTTGGGTAGCATAATGCTGGACTTGGGTTCCTAACTTCCATCTAAGTCCCACTTTCCCTTTCTAAGGCTGTTTGGTATCAGGCCCTCCTGATGTCTAAACAATTAACTTCTTTCCAAATTACCCTATTACTTCTATTCTAAAGGGCTAATTGAAAGGCAGGGAAATACGTTATCTCTTCGACTAAAAAGCCTCAACAGCCTTTAACCAGTTGACAAAAGCACACTCCTGAAGACAGGGGAGGCAGCAACATTAATTTCTGGGACACAGCCCCCACGTGCTGAAATCTCACAACGCAGCAAACATCCACGGGGTTGTTCAGCCATCAGAGGAGCAGGAGGAGGCTGAGGAGGCTGGGAAGTCTCCTGTCTCTGTTTCAAACTCGTGTTTAGTTATTTCTGACTTGTGTTTACAGTCTGATTTGAGAACTTACTAAAACCCTGAATATATATATATAAATATAAAACCTTTTTAAACAAGAGGAGTGTACACAATACACTTCAATAGCAGAAAGCCGGTGCACCTTCAGAGATGATTATTCATGAATATATATGTTTATTCACTGCTAGCAGTTTTTGGTGATGCTTGCTGCCTTTACCCACAGTCTTCTAGGTATTTTTATTATTTTTTTGTTTATGTTTATACTGTATTAGAAACAGTGTTTGAACTCCAGACCACTAAATACAGAAATATTATGGTGTACCTGGTTTACTCTATTAATATTTCAGGAATAAACCGGTCCTGCCATTGGGTGGTTCCTAGATCAGTTGGGCAACTGTGAAACCCACCGAGCCAGACAATGGCTACTGAAACTCTGAATGTGTAAGAAAATTCAGTGCTGGGTATTGCATGGACCTCCCATGCTCCTCCACAGATCACTCTGGGAGAGCATCGTCCCGTCCCAACCCCACCACAGGCCACTGTGTAATTTGCACAAAGTGGACACACCATCAGCCTGTGCAATTACAGAGGTCTGGAAAATCTTCTTTGGCGTTCTGGCAGAGGTACTTGCAGAGTTTTAGGTACTGCTGGGTTTGCTGCCGGGTGGAGCTGGGAAGAGGGAGCGTGTAATTAGGAGGCAAAATCCAGCAACGACCTCTCCAGCTCTTGCTGTTTCTGGCTCTTGTTGAATAGCAAATCTAATTTCATCGCAACTCTAATTGCATATTCCATGGGCATAAAAGCATTTATCCAAGATATCTAGTGCTATGAGGAAATTAAAGGCTTAGAAAGTGCAGCTTTAAACTGAACGTTGTGACCTGGTGCACTGTAGGCAGTCACAAGCCGTTTGAAGGCATGCTTTGGTGCGCCAAGCCCGTCCTCTTTGTTCCCACCATCCTGCATCGTGATATTGAACCCCAAACTAAATATTTTAGCCTTTGGAAAGCAACCAGACACATTTTTAGGTCTTGCTCTTGACTAAAAATACACTTCTTGAAGCAGTAAGGCTCCACAAATAAAGGCTTAGTATGAAAACATGCCCAGAACTCAACTGACTTTGAATTTTATTAGGAATTCCTGTAATGAAGCTGCTGTTGTGTTACAGTTGCCCAAGTAACAGAACTCCCTACCAGTCTGGTGCATGAAGTGGTTAACTCGTGCAGTAAAAGCTGAATGTACAAAAAAAGTTCACCTGAGAGGCCTGAGATCATATTAATGTACAAAACCATATATTAAATACATGTCTACTGAACACAGGGACTGTTGGGAACCGTCTCTGAAGGCAGCGATGAGGAGCCAGGGCCGTCTGATGCATGGCAATGGCACAGCTGCGGGAGCAGCTGCCAACGGAGCCCCACGCGTTAAATTCCTTTTAAAACATGGCTTTTTTGGGTTTGTCTTTTGCCTGTGTGACGACCGCACGGCTGACAACAGAGGGATGCTAAAGATATTGACGAGCACAGCGCGCCTGGGGCGAGGCGGGGGGAGCGGAGGGGGCGCACAAGAAGCTGGGAGGGGACACAAGCCGAGCGCACAGCACGGATATAAACACTGCTCTCAGGCACGTGGTCTGATTTTTGGGGGGCTTTGTTCCGTGCAGGGCCTGGCCCTGGGGCGGGACCCCATCCCGGCTGGGCTCTGCTCGGAGCCGCCCGGCCGGGGTTCGCGGTGCCGGCCCCGCTCCGCCTCCCCGGGCAGTGCGCATGTATTGAGGCGGCCCAGCCCCTGAGTCACCCGCTCCGCTGCTCAGCCGCTCCCGGCAGGGGCAGGAAAAGGCGGCCACCATGAACCGCCTGGGCAGGAAAGGCAATGAGACCCTCATCGAGATGTCGCTGTCGGCGGACGGTGAGCGGTGGCGGGGCGGGGGGGAGCGAGGGGGTCGCTGATGGGTTTCGCCGATGGGTTTCGCCTCTGCCCCCCGGGACAGGGCTGGGCTGGGCTGGGCTGGGCTGGGCTGGGCTGAGCTTCCTGCCGGGGGTGACTCGGAGCCCCCCCCCGGAGGCGTCGGAATTTGGGGCGGATTTGGGGGGCATTTTGGGGCGCTCTGGTTCCTCCCCGGGGTCTGCAGGCCGGTGACGGTGAGATGGGGCTGATCCCGGGGGGGGAAGAAGGGTGATTCCTGGTCCCCTCCTGCGTCAGGGTTGAGATCCTCCGGCTTCCACTGAGCGCAGCAGAGCCACGTTTCTATGAGCCGCCGATCAAACTGCGGTTAGATCTTTTATAAGCCCCAGATAAACCTTGAAAACCTTGGAGGTTTCTTGCATCAGCCCAGAACAATGGGAAACCCTTTGGATTTTATCCTAAAGCGCGCCGCAAATGCACAGGTCCCTCTGCCTGATGGCAAACTTCCATCCTCCCCCGGGGCACCAGCTGGGATCAGGTGCCGGCTCCCAGGAGCTGAGGTTGCCACTACAAGAAGGTTCGGAGCAGGCTGGGTCACCCCTCTCCTGGAAGGTGTGAGCAGCCCCTCTCCCCCGCTGCCCCATCCCAGATGTGCTGGTGCCCATCAGCTTTGGATGGGACCCCTGCAGAAGGGGCAGCCGGGCAGTGGGGTTTGTGTCGGGGCCTGGCCTTATTGTACTGAGCCAGGTTACAGTTTCCACTTCATCTCGGTGTGGTATGCCATTACTTAAAATAAATGTGGTCATATTAATGATTTTGTAAAATAACATGACGCAAGTGTGTATTTATCAGCACCTCACCTGGCAACGTGAGTCAACAGTCAGATGTAGGAGAGCGCACTGATGCTTTCAGCATGGGACTGGAGTTATTTAAAAACAAAACAAAAATGCTGACCTAGAAAAATTTCCCTTTTTTGGGGGAGGGAATAATGCTTTGCCATCAGTCCTAGAAGTGAAGATCTTAAAGCAGGAAGGAACCACTAAGTTCCTGCGTTGGCTTCTTGGGTCATGTGTCCTCCCTCAAAGCTCGATTACGCTGTCCCTTTTAGAAAAACATGTAATGCCACAATATATATTAATACCCCAAGCGCTGGGGTCAAGTCGTGATTTTCAAACTATTTGACAGTCTTGTTTCATTGACTGGGAAAATTACCCAAAAGAAGCCCTCAGCAGTGCCAGGGAGGAGCGGAGTCCAGCTGCGGGGAGGCAGGCGTCCACAGCAAGTGTCAGACGGAGGCTGGCCCTCCCTGGGAAAGCCTGGTGGAGCTGGCAGGCTTCTTAGGAACTGGAGCAGATGGGTGTTACAGCCTCTTGGCCAGCACTGCTATTCCAAAGGGGATGTGGGGAGGCCTGAGTCACTGCCCATCCCGCTGCCTGTGAGCGATGAAAAGTGCTAGGACTGAGCTGCTCTAGCCAGGGGTTGTTCTTCTGAAGTGGCTCGAGACTAAAAAATATTTACAGAGCACACAAAATATTTCCATCTAGGGAATGATTCTGTGAAGTCAGGTTTGTAAACACAGTGTTCAGTTTCCCCGGGAGTGCCTTGTGGGTGTTTTCTAGACATAAATATTGAATATGAGGATATTTGAGGGGTTTCAGTGAGCAAGGATGGTTTAGGAGGATTTACCATACAGTAGCACATAACTGTCCAGACAAAATCTTCTAACAGTTCAATTAATTTTTTTTTTTAACTAACAACTTTTCTAAAACAGAAACAAATTGAATATGAGTAGTCTTAAAGTTTATGTAAATTTGTTGCCCCAAAGCCTCTCAAGGTTAAAAAAAAATAAAATCTTCCTTAAATTATGTCTCAAAAAACTTAACAGTGTGCATGTACTGCTAGCAGAACATCTGCTTTGTGGCTTTAAGGAAAAGCCTCCTAAGGCTATACATGTCTAATGTGCATAAGCAGGGCCCATGTGAGTCAGTAGGAATAAAACAGAAGACATTTGCTACTTACTTTTCTTAAAGACATGTTTGTATTTGGATAGTGTGTGTGTGTATTTAATTCTGGTTTACTACTGCTTTTCCTTAAACTTGAATGCTGGGAGACAGGTGGTGGGGATGAAAAACTGCGTGCCAGCAGCAGAAAGTTTGACTTGCAGAGTCTGTGTTCAGAGCCTGTGTGCCACAGCTCCTACCTGGAAGGAAGTTTTCTGGCTTCCTGCTGAATTACATCTGCGTGAGGTAATAACTTCCACTTCTGTGTGTGTGATTTCGCTTTCTGTTGGGAGATGTGGGTCATTTACCTCAAATATTAAACTCTCAGAGAACTGAACCTGCGAAATTGGAATGTAAATATCAGAGGAAGAAGACCACAGTATGTTGCTAGGAATATTTATGTCTGTGTTGCCTCTCAGTGTTTGGTTTTTTTCCCAGCACTTTAATGCTGCAGTAACTGTGTTGTGGGATATATCCCAAGACTGTGGATCTTCTGGAAGCTTGCAGTTGGCTCCATGCCATGATTTGAAATGTCCTGCCTTTATAACACATGGCTCCTCTTCAGAAACTTCCAGGAGGCTGGTTTGAACTCGAAACACTCTAAGCCTTGTAAATTTGGTTCTCATCTTGCTTGTGTCCCCTCTGAGAAAGGTGGAAAAACATCAGGAAAAGCCAGCGGTATGACTTGCAAACAGCGCTTGTGCCAGAGTGTTGGCATCACGTAGTGCCTCAACGTTCAGGGCCAAATATTGCTGCCATTTAATAGAATGATACTTCACTTATTTGATCAGGATTATTGTGATTCATACTAACAACATAAAACCTCTGCTCAGAACTACATCTGTCTCTAATTACTGGCGCAATGTATGGAGTAATTTCTGATCTATTTGTGGAAACGCTGAATGGGGTATCGTGTTCCCACAGGGCTAAACCCAGGGGTTTGTTAACGGGAAAGCTGTTTGACAGATTATTCCTGGGTAATGAAATAAAAGCTCTAAAAGCTCCAGGAAACTTGTATGCAGCTCAGAATACAAAAAGGCGGGGGAGAAAATACTCTTGGACCAAGCAGTGTGTAGTTTCTGAGTGGAATTTCTTTGCTGGCTGCTTGTGAGTCACCGCGGGGGCACAGCGTAAATAAATACAGGTTGGTTATTTCTCCCTGTAGCAGAAAACTCCTGATTGTAGTAGGAAAACTTGCTCTTGGAAAACACTTATTTTAGGTGAGAACCCTGCATATGAGGTTAAACTCACTCCCTGTAGCCCGGTGAGCAGCAAAGGAGGGATTAAGTCCCCCGTGTGCCATCTAAGCCCAGTAGCAATTATGTGGGTTGTTTGGGCCACACTTTGGGAAGCTGGGAAATACAGCTGGATTCATAGAATCCTTAAGGTTTGAAAAGACCTCTGAGATCCCTCAGGGACAGAACTGAGTGATGGTCCTGCTATCACAGGTGAAGGTGTTTTACCCTCTATATAATGAGGGGTCCACGACTTCAACAAGAGAAAAATCATTCTGTAGACGTCTCCCCTCACAACAGTTCCTGGAGGAATGCTTGGTTGCAGCTGGGGGCAGAGGTCCTGGGCTGTGAATGCCAAATAAATGCCGAGAAAGCCACCAAAATGCCTTCTGGTGTAAGGCAGAGTGATGTTCTCTCAGTGTTCCCCTCTCCATCAGTTTGCTGCTAAGATACTGCCTGGCGTGCTGTGCCCTTCTGAGGTGTTCCCTGCAGAAATGAAGTAACTACCATAAAAAAGGATGTGCACTATAACCTCTGTGTACAAAGGCTTGATAATTAGTGTGATACAAGCAAACACTAGGATAAGACACAAGGGCACTGCTGAAAAGGTACTTTTTAAAATTATGCTGACAGCTGTTGGCAGATAATTTGTAAAAAAAACCAAAAAAACAAACCTCAAATAACCAACCCATTAAACTATGGGTTGCACGTGGAGGAGACAACATAAACATGTAATTAAGAAGGTAGAGGTAATGTAGAAATGTGGTCAGATGTTAACAGGCAAGGTCATAATGCAGTGAACTTCTCCATGGGGTTTTTTTTTTTACTGCCATCTGAGGTTCAAACCAAAGAGCAGTGTAATTACTGGGTTGTGATTTGTTATCTAGCAGTAATTTCATTATATTTGGTGATAGCTTTTCACCTCCACGTGTTTGTAAATGCAGGGAGCGGGAGGAAGATCCAGGTGTTGCATTTCTAGGGGTAGTTCTTGCAATTATAACGTAATTACGGAAGGATTTTGAGGCGTTTGTTTGCTATGTACCAAAGCTGAGCAGCATGTCAGGAATTATTTATAGATTAAACATGGTGTGTGACGACACATCGTGTGACATCCGTTGAAACAATTACTACATTTTGTGTTACATTAAACTTCGTGTTTGGGAGGAGCTGATTCTAGTTTGGGACTTGGATTATGCTTTAGAGATGTGTGTTTTTCGTTGAAACCTGTGGCTGCTAAAGCTGGGGTGTTCTTGTCTCCATTCTCAGTGAGGTAGTGAAGTTCCAAACACGTTTTCTTTAGGAAGTGAGTGTGTCTTTGTGTGAAGTGCAGTCTTTTAACTGGAAATCCCAAGTGATTCTCTTGTCTTCTTCACCCAGCTCCCAAGGGTAAATATGAAACTTGAGGCCTTTGGCAGGGTAGCAGAACCCCAGCAAGCCACGTGGGCAGGGCTGGGGAGGCACACGGCTGGCCTCTCATTTTCTGCACCAGCCCTAAATTAGAAAGGGTCCTGTGGTTTGTTATTCAGAGTTTTCCTAACTGTGGGGTAGGTAATCAGAAAGTCTGTGTTGCTGCAATTTTTAGCATGCTAGACTATACCGTGGTAGCAAGTAATGGCTAGCAGATGTGGGTTTGAGGCCACTGGTACATGGATGCCTTTGCCTGCTTCATTTCTGTTAATTGACTGGTGCTCACATAAAAAACTCCCAAGTGATGGAAGCCATGGTCCATTGCCCTGCTCATTTTCTTGGCTGATAGGAGCTGTTCCTCTCTAGGATCAGTTTAGGAATTCCAGAGTTATTCCATCGTCCTTAAAGTGATTTGGACGAAAACACTAATTCTTCCAATTCTTGCATTTGTTTCTAAAAGGTCCTCCTATACTGGTGTATTTTTATGTTGTTTATTGTGAGAAAATGAGATACGTGGTGGATATACTACCAAAATTCTCAAGGATACATTTCATTAGAAGCATAATCAAGACTATTGAATGAGGTAGAGCATAATGACCAAAAGGGGTAAAAATTTGGAGATTAAATTTGCCATCTGAAGTTAAATGTCTGGATAACATGAAGCTGAGGAATACTGTCTGGTGTTTTACCCCCTTGCTCTGCTGAGGTTTATTTGTCATCCTAGTCCCCCTTACTTGCATGTATATAAATGCTGCAAAGTATAAAAATAGCTGGCTTTGTCCAGCTGTCCCTAGTCTGGGCTTGCTTTTCTTAACTGCATTTGAACCCGTTAATCAGTTTACATGTGTCATTCTGCAGAATGATGATACCTTAAAGGTCTAGGTGTTAAGTGCTCACAGCATGCTTTAAGCCTTGTCTGTGCTGGTATATAAAATATGGTAGTGGTTGTTGCAGTAAATGCCATTCAGGGTCTGTGTTACAACACTATGGTTGTGGCTTTTTTGCTAAAAACAGCTTTACTCAACTTCTTTTTTTTATTCCCCCCCCCCTTTTTTTTTATTCCTGTGCCTTTCAATCAAAAGGGGAGGTGGTTTTGTGGTTCTTTAAAAGCGAGGCAGCCGAGGGTAAACGTGGAGTTTCTGATTTAAAATACCCAGTTACTCTACTAGAGACTAGGGCTAAGATTCCATGTCTTTTCCACGTGCTAAATGAGATTTTCCTATTGATAGGAACAGATTTTCCTTATATAAGAGACTTACTTTTCTTCTGATGCATTGATAAATGCCTGTTCTGTGGAAAATGCCTGTTTAATAATAAAACACATCCAGATTTTATGTCCGTGAAGCAGCCTATGCTTGAGTAAAATCTTCTTGGTTTTTTTATTAAGGGACTAATAAAATTCTTTTAAAATGTTCCCAGTAAACTTTCTTGGATTCACTGAGAATGTTTTGTTTCCACTGTCAAGAGATAGTTTTGAATTTTTAGAAGCGTTTCTGCTCGCGCATGAACCAACCACTTCAGACATCATTGTGGCACTGAACTTTTGGCTCAGCAGTGAATTTGTTACTCTTCAGGCAATGTCACGCGAAGCAAAACCCTATTTTCCTTGCTCAGGAGCCAGCAAGGTGGGTCTCCAGTTCACCATGGCAACTCAGCCGTCCAGCTCTGGGAGGATGCGATCGCTGTGCAACTTAAGTTTATTTAATAAGTCATTTTAAAGCTGTTTTCTGTAGATATGGAAGCACTTGGCAGTAGTGATTATGGTGTTTGCTTGGAATGAGCGACCTTTTTCTGGAGAAGTCTTTGTTCAGTATGTGTTTTTATTAGTGATGCAATGCTGAATCAGACCCTTATCCAGGATGGAAATCAGATGCAGTAGGGCCCACTGCAGCAGCAATCCCACGGTGATTGTTTGGGAGCAAAGGACACAGGACTTTAAATAGCACATTGATTTAGTGATAAGTAAGCATGTTTGAAATTGATTTCTCTCTTTTCTGTCAGCCAGGCCAGGTGATTGGATAATGGCAAGGGTTTATTAAGATGGTGACTTCAAGACGTCTAGGAATAAAATTTTCTTTCATTGCTTGTTAAGGATGAGTATTGAGAATTTTCTTCGTAGTACAAAGTAACTGCCTCATAACAACTGCAGTGTAAGTTTCAGGATTTGTTAGGGTTTTGCTTGGTTTATTTGTTTGGTTTTTTATTTTACCCGGACCATCAAAATTTTCCTCTAAGGATATGTTTGCTCATAAACTAATACACCACAGGTGTCAGACGGGCAGAACAAGGTCAAAGCTCTTGAAAGCTCTTTTGACCTGCTTGGTTTTGTTGGCTGAAAAGGATGCTGTTACTGTGGCTAAGGCAAATTGTGGAAATAAATGAAAGCAGTAGTTTGGAAACAAGACTGAAAGTAAGAGCAGGGCAGAACTAATACTGCCTTACTGCTCCTGAACAATGCACGTTATCAACTCCTGCCTGAGAATCCTGTCTCTGACTTTGCCTTTGGACTAGCTCTGTCAGAGGTCTTATGCCTGCAAATGGAGATGATTTTCTAGTTTAAGCAGCAAAAGGAAAATTCTAATCCCTAAAGATGTCTATTCAGCTGCCACTTGGTTTTAGAAGCACCTAATCTGTTAGCGTTTTTTGCTGGTAGAAGCACATCTGTCGAGAGCTCTGCTTGGTGCAGATGAATCAGGGTGATAGAAGCTGGAGGAAAAGGAAAACTTAAAGGTCTTCTCTTGCTCTTTTTTTTTTTAATGATGCAGAGCCTGAGCTGTGCCACACTGCAGCATCTACAACCAGGGCAGTGGGCCTGGCTGTACCTCCAGTGCAGCATCATCAGCTGAGCTTTTTTCTTTGCCATCTCCCAGCAGACCCTGACTTACTGAGGGATGCTGAAGTAACAGGGATTGTCATCTTCCTTGCTGCAGCTTTCAGAAAACAGGGGGCTACGGGAGGTGTTGTTTTTACAATGGCATCATTAGTTTTTGCAACAGCATTGACCACGGGCACTTCTACCTTCTCCTAAACCCTCAGTTTTGCTCTGTAGAAAAACAAAGTGAACCTGGCACTGTGAACAGATTTAAACTGCTGTAGAATGACTAATCATTTCATTGCACAAGAAGCCATTTTTTTCATGCCTGTTACAGAAATTCTAAGATTGCACTAATAAAAGTACCTTTTTTTTTTTTTTTTTTTTTGTGGGTAAACTCCTTGTGTTTTAAGAGGTGAAATCACAGTCTTGATTATATTCTGCAGTCTTCGGTACCGAACGTTGATTTCTGTTTTGAATTACCGTTGTTCTGCTCCTTCAGGCCTGTAATTGAAGTGGAAATGGGCTGTAATTCTTAGGGGTGGCACGGCAGGAGTTTCTAAGTGGGTTTGCCCTGTGGTTGGGCGTAGTTTGGGACAGCAGATGTTAATACTGCAGAATTACAGGCCGTGTGAAGCTTGCTTATTTCCAGTAACATGCAGACTCCCGAGGCACACGTGTCTGGAGGGTTGCAAATAGCTGAGTGAAGAACTGTGAGGCTGTGGAAGACAACAGTTGCATTGGGAAAGAGGTATTTCTTTCAGCTGGGATGCGGGCGTGCCGCTGGAGGCCTGTGATTTGAACAGATACTAAAATGATAAATGTCTGAAACAATTTTAGGGAGTTTTGATGGTCGCAGAGTTGGTCTGGAGTTAATTTTGGAACAAAAGAAACACTTCAAGGAGTGACTGCAATTTGTACAGAAACATTTTGTATAACGAAGAGTCCCTTAGTTTACTGACTGTCCTTGTTTGTTGTTCTTGGAGTGCGGACACTTGTAGAATCTGTTCATGTGCATAACAGCATGTAGTGTTGAGGAACAAGGACATACCCTTAAATACGGTATTTTTACCAGAATGTTGTTTTACTCCCACCTTTAGATGAGAACTTGTAATTTTGTGAAGAATTTTAGAGGCATTTTCTTGGCTGGCAGAAACAATTATGTCCTACCTGCTGCTGATACGGGAAAGTGCCTGGACAAAAAGGTGAATGTTGGTGTTCCAAGAGGAGCCTGTTCCATGATTTCTGTCTAGCTCGCAGTCTCTGCCATCCAGGGCCTATTTTTTTTTGTTGGATATATAGTGGCTGTGTTGTAAAGGATAGAGGAGAACTATGAAACGGGTTCATGTTAAAAGTGATTTTTACTTCTGGTTCTTACTGAAGTGTTTTTTCCTTTTCAAGATGACATTGCGATTCTCACCAAGTTCAAGCCATCACAGTCAGAAGGTATTGTACTAACCCACGTTACACCTTCCTTCCTTTTGTCTGTGTCCTCTGTCCCTTTGTTTTTTCTGCTGGGAGCCTCTTGGAAATCAGACTTGGGTTAATGTGAATCGCTGGTGTCACATACGGGCCACGCCTTTTGCAGTGTGATTTGCAAGTCAATTGTTGGCTATCTGTGGGCAGCTCTCCTGGGTAAGAACTAAGTGGGCATTTCCATTCCTGGTGCTTGTTGTGATTCTGGGATGTGTCTCTTTTGCACCTTCCTACTTGTGCTGTTCTCGTTCAGGAATCTGTTTGTGTTTTTCAAGGAGAGAACATATTAAGTATGTTGTACTTCTCATTTAATATATGTTTTGCTTTTTTTTTTTTTTTTTTGTGCTGCTCTAGGGTTATTCAGGTTTATTCATGTGGTTCAGAGAGGATTTCCTTCCACAAGTTGCCTAAGTAATCAACTGTGGTGTTGGGAAAGCATTTAAAAAGTGGAACTCTGAATTGTACTTCTTCCTGAGGTCAGACTTTCACAACTACAGAAAGGATAAAATCCAGAAAAAAACCCCAAAATACAAAGGCTGTTAGAGGCAGTGGAATCAGTTCAAGTCCCCTCAGCAGCTTTGGCAAATTGAACGTTCCTGCTGCAGGGGCAAGGTGCCCAGGCTGCTGGTGGCCTGGGACTGGAGGGTTGTGTGACAAAATGTTTGGGCTTTCTTGCTCCAGGGCCTTGGGCTCGTTCGTACCTTTGGCCAAATCTGCAGCAGCCACCTGCCTCCCAGGGCTGGGGGTGCTCCCCTTCCTTCATCCTGGGCAGCTACTGGGTTTGCATAAACTTAAAGCCATCCCTGTGCAAAGGCAGAGCCTCTTCTTAAGAATATTCTTACAGAAACAGTTTCTCATGTAAGTTAAAGTGACTGCTTTGGTAACTGTTGGGTTTTGAGTCAAGACTCTGTGTTCTTACTACGATATTCTCCCATCACGTAACATTCATTTCTGCTGTATGTATTGGACATTCCTGCAGTGCTGGGAGGTGAACTGAGGTCAGTTCTGTGCTGCAGACCTTCTCTGGGTTTGGTGTTCTGTCTCTGGATAGGAAGAATGATCCCACATTATTTACTTACACGTTAACTTTTTAGAGACAACTTAGCACCCATCTCCACGCTCATATCAGTGCACAGAGACACTTTTCTACAGGTGCATAAATAAAACCCAAGAGACTTCAGCTATTAGTACAGATTTTGCAGGTGTAGTTTGCTTTAGCAGAATAACATGCAGCAGCTTTAAATGTCTTGGCATTCAGGAACTTATTCATTATATTTTACATACCATTATGTACCATTGCCCAGTTTCTCATTATATTGTATGTAAGCTTATAAATTAGAGACCATTTTCTGTGAGTGAATGTAGAGAAATAAAAAAAATTGTAAGAAACAAAATGTTCTCAAGCTCTACTTAAGTAGCTTATTATGTATTTTCAAAGAAGGAGTTTATATCCTGCCTGGATGCAATTTTGGCATCAAATATTTGCCTGATTTAGGAGACTGATGTGTCTGTCTACTCACCAGAGAGATGGTTGTTCACAAAAACTTCTTGAAGCGCGAGCCTATAGCTTATGGCTCAGAGTTGTTCTCCAGAGGAAACCGATGGCAGAGTAAGTTCAGAAGCACAAAACCAGCTGATGTCTCAACACAGTTTAGGGTTCTGATGGTATTAAATATCATTTCCCCCCAACATTAACATTTAAGTAACAGTGTCCTTGGTGAACTGACTGTTTTTGTAGGAAAGTCATGCTGGAGTTCACACCTGTTAAAATGAAGGTAGTTTCTTTTAGTTTGGGTGGTGATTGTTGTTGTTTTGGGGGTTGTTTTTGTTCTTTAAACAACAAGAAGCTTACTTAAGTTCATATTACTGTTCTTGATCTGTTGACATGTCTCCATTATGTGGGCATCTGTAATCTTGAGGTTGTGCATCATTAACCCCTTAGCCAAAAAAACACACCCTAATTCAACGTCTAGCAAGCAATCCCGTGGGTAATTCAACTTTCATAACCGAGGCAGCAAAGCTCTGGGTGTGAGACCCTCTTAAACAACAGCCTAGCAGGTATTTGAAACAAGAAGGATCCGTGATGGCAACAGATTTTTGTTTGTCGCAGTTAAAAATATGTTTCTGTGACTGCAGGGTTACACCAAGGTAGTACAGACTGAGTATATTGTCTCACAGCATCTTCTTCCCTTTAAATAACTGTTCTTGGTGGTTGACTGAGGATTATTTTCCACCTTTTCCGTGTTCATAGTTTGATGCCTTCAAGGTCCACATCATTTTCAGATCCAGTAATATTTTAAAATACGGAGTGTATTGATGTGAATCTCTCTTTCCATGTTCCTTAGGGGAAGAATGCAATGGACCCTTAAGTGAAACTATTTCAACTGCAGGATCAGAAATCCCAAGCAGCTCTGAGGTAAGGTACAGCATGGATGGTGTTAGCTAATGCACTGCTGACAGGAAGAAAGAAGAGTGGTTGCTGTGAAAGACACAATTAGTTTAAAAACTAATATTTCTTTTAGATTGTCTTCTACCCCCTTTTTGTCCATGTAAGCATTTGCATCCTGTGTTGTTTTGAAAGAGCAAAACTGTGAATGTAACACTGACACTCCCTGAGTCTTATTATAAAATGAGGCTTACCAGTGTCAGTGCTACAACACAGTAGTGGTAGAAAACAGTATGAACTTAATGGTGTTTCCAGTATTAGTCTTGAAATTAGAATCACACAACAATTAAGGGTTTGGGCAACTGGAAAAACATAGTGTTTCTGCACAAAGCAAACACTTTGTTTTGAGCTGGGGCCTGCTGGGGAAATGGAGGCATGTGTGTGTTCTGCTGCTCTAGGAACGTTGTGGCAGTGCTGCAAGATTGACGAGAAAGCAAATGAAGGTTTGAGTTACTAAAACACCTCTTCCTTGCAACATGTGCAGTATGAAAAGCACCATCAGCTATTCATGTTTTCACAGCACTTCATTGCTTAATGTGTACAGTACACAATGTCTTAAAGAGGTAGCAGTGTGTGGTTAGTATTCAGTTAAGAAACAGATGCAAAAAGAATATTGGAAAGACACGTTCTTGAAATCGTTATTTTATTTTCATTCCTATAGTCTGATTTCTTTATTGCTGGTATAGGCTTAGAGGAAGAGAGGAAGAGTTTCAGATAGGAAGAGAAACAACTGTCCTGTCAAAGTAGGGTCTTACACTGGCCATGAGCACTCATCAGGAATGATGTCTCTTGAACTGAGTGTTGAAAAACTGCAGCTGAGATTCTTAAAAGTAAAACATGTCCTCACCTACCTCTAAGGGTCAAATCTGGAGATGATCACATGAAGACAGAACTCAGAAGGGCTTCCTAAATTACACAGATCTTTGTCTTCCTGGACCATGCAACCATATCATCCCAATGTTTCCGTAAATCTACTGGTTCCATCTTAAAACTTGTTCCTGTGTTCACCCTGCTGCTTTCTGAATCTGTTGGAGGAACTGTAATCATCTTTTTCTCCAGGAGAATGTTCAGTGAACAGCTGCATCAAATCTTCACTGAGCAATGGGCAGACATGATCTCCAGTTCTAGTGTGTGAGTCATCATACCATGATAAGCTGATTCTGAGCTACTTGTGAGTGTCTCTGAGTGGATGGAGATGACCTATTTTCCCCAAAGCTTGAAAAAATTCACTTCAAGCCTTAGGAAGGACAAACAGGCAGGGAACATGGGAGAAAGGGTGCAGTGCTTGTGTCATATATGTAGAGACATGGGATTTGAACCTTTTTTGAAGGGTGAAGGATTCATTATGGGGTGGGAAAGGAGGCTTTGATCTTCAGCACATTCTTGTCTGGGAAAAATAATATCTGGTTATCCTCTCAAAAATCTCTCCTTGGTAACTTTATGCAGCCTTTTCACTTGTTTCTTCTTATGTTCCCTTACATAAGCATTTTTTCTCTTCATTTGTTCATAAATACCTCAGAGTATTTTCATATTAGCAATATCAGTCAGAGCTGACTTGATAACTTGGGGTTTTGTGTTTTGTTGTTTTCCTTGCTCCCTCTGAGAGGACTTGTTTGGCTTTAGGTAGTTGGTTTCTGTAGATCAGCTGGTCATCTGACATTTGCTTCCATTTAAATTACTACTTTTCTGTGCTTTGCCTTATCCTACCCCATGCTCCCTAATACATTTTCATTTATCTGATTTTTGCTTTCTATGCATTAGCCAGACATAAAGCTAGAGAGTTACTCTTAATCTTCTTGCCCAGTTTCACACTCTTATCACCCATTATTCTTGATGAATAATGTCCTAGATATTCAGGTTAAGTCCATACTTAGTTTTTCTGTGAATTCATTCCAATAGTAAGATAGCCCCTAATATTTATGGGATTTTTTTTTTTCATAAAACGTTAATCTTTTGTCTCCACATGTTGTCACAACTTCAGGTGTCTTCTGTATAAACTGGAAGAATTTCTTTTCCCTCGGTTCTTTGCTAGGCTGCCTTTGACATCCTTGGTACATTCCTGTAGGAACTGAACAGGGTCTTCTATCCCAGCATGAAAGTCAAGCTCTGGCTTCTCCTCTTTTCACCAAGCCCTTCTGAGCTCAGGTCAATATGCTTTGTTCTTGTTCTGACAAGTAGCCCGTTTCTCTGTGTAATGATTTCACTCCTATGGTAGGTTGGTAATTTTCTTGTCACTTAACAATGTTTCTGCAGTTGAAAAATCTGAACGTTAAGAAGTCTTAAACCGATTTAAGTCAAGTAATTTTGAAACAGGAATGGAATTAATTAATGAAAAAAAAAAACATTGGAAAGAGTTAAATGAGTTTGCATTCAGGTCACTGCTTCATTAGGCTCAGGCTGTCTTTTGGAAGAGAAAAAACATAACATACAGGAGCAATATGTTTCTGCTCAGCAGTACAGAGAAAAGCTTAAAATTGATTAGAGGAGGGGAAAAAATAAATCTAGATTTAATATGGAGAACAGGAAACATTACCTATCCATAATTTAGTGGTTCTTTCTTTCTTTCTTTTGTAATCTGTAAAGGAATATGTGATTTGGACATAAGGAGTGATGCAAGTAAAGCAAAGACAAAGGTGAAAAACAGTCTGTGGTGAAGCCTGCCAACATATATACAAAAACTGGATGAAGTCCAGGACTCAAAGAGCATTTGAGTCTCCAATCTGTGCTGCATTTGGTCCTCTGTGATTTTGCCTATTTCGCTCTGGGTTTTTTTCTTTTCTTTTTTTATTTTTTTAAATCTTCTTTTTGAGTCTCTGTATTTTTCTTATTATTTAATCTCCCACAAGGACAAAAATAAATAAGATCATTTGGAGTTCAACAGATTTTCGTATTCCAACCCTTACAGAGTAAATTATCTCCAATGGCATGCAGGGAGGTGAGGAGACATTTTCAGCAAACAGGAGATGGGAGAAGGGAAACAAAAAAAAAAAAGGATGTGTTGGGGATATTTTCAAATAGGTGCTGCAATGAATTTTGGGCAAAATTAAATCCCTGGTTTGTAGTATATCAACATCTGTAAGCTGTGTATACAGAGGACTATTTGTCTCTCTGCTGTTCCAGTTCAGAACTACAAAGTACTTTAAAATGTTTACTTGCTATGCATGTGGACCCCTTGGTATGCAGGTGACTGCACTACTCTAGGGCTGCAGGACTGTGCCCTAATCCAGCTCTGGAGGGGTTAGCATTTACTTTTGCACAGTTATACATGAAATTTTCACTTTCCTGTTGGTTTCACACCAGTGAAATGCTCACTAAGAGTTTGTGTTTATCAGGATTTTCCATAATGTAACTTGATCATGAGAAACCTTGAGAACAAGCTGTCTTTGCTTAAACCAGGTTAGAGGAAGTAAATTGACAGAATTCCATCAAATTTCTTAAAGCAATGCATTTTACCAAAATTAGGGCTGTGACACATAGATTATTATTTTTTTCAGAGCAGCAGGTGCTGCAGGTGTTCTAAATTAATTGTTGTGGTTTATTTTTTTTTTTTCCTGAAGAAACACCATCATAATATACATTACTTTTCATTCTTGTTCATTTTTCAATTCAGGCAGGTGGAGAGAAACATAAAGTACCATTATCAGTATTGTGAGAAGGCAGACCAAATTGGTTTCAAAATCCAGATGGAAGTACAAAAATACTTCTTCCAGTTGTAACAAAAACACAGTCTGAGGGTTATTTTGGGGAGAGCCAGAGTACATGGAAGACTTATGAGAGTGGATTCCAGAGCAAGAAGGACCAACTCAACGCTGCTGCCACCACTGCCAACCTTCTTGGTTTTCCTCTCAGCAGAGTTTGGACTGTTTGAGTTGGTTCCTGTTTTGGGGGGTCATGTGTTAATCAAGATTGGGCCCCCTTTGTGCTGTACATCGGATTTTGGCATCTAATGGTGCGTTTTTACCAGAGGACTTAAAAGGTGCAGGAGAGGGTTTGGGCACGAGTTTTACAGTAGTTAACCCCAGTGGCCTGAGCTAATTAATTGCAGACAGGGTAGGTTCCCTAGATTAGCATTTCCCGGAATGCAGAGGAATGTCCAAAGGCCTCTGCAGGTCATGCATCTTCACCTCACAGCTGAGTGTTTCGCTACCTGCATTAAAATTCTACCTCTGTGGGCAGTGAGCACCAGTGGGTGGCTAAAACCTCCGTGGAGGAGGAGGGGGGGAGCAGTGAGTGGGAGAAATGTGGGATGGAGAGGTTGGATGAAAGCAGATGGAAGAGCCCCAGCGTGGCTGGGGAGTTGCCTGTGTGCAGTAGAGAGGGCAGGAGCTGTGGGGCAGCACTGAGAGCAAGGCTGTGCTTTCATGGACATTGTTTGTGCAGTATTTTACATGACAGGTACCTGTATAACTGGAGAAAAATTAAAAATTTCAGTTTAATTGTCTCAACCCTTCATTCTCTGCAGATAGAGCAGGTTTTTTTCCTGTCACATCAGTGACAGGAGGATTAGACTTCTAAAGCCAGTTCAGACTGTGTCACAGTAAGAGCATAGTGCAGCTATTTATATTTGCACTGGTTCTCATGTGGTTTCCTTGCCAAAAAACAGATGGATCTTTTTGTGTTTTATTTGACTGCGTTCTGAAAAGGACGTTTTTTTCTTACTTAGATAAGCAAATACCTAGAGATAGCATCATAAAAAGAATATAAAGATGTGTGTATGCACATTACTTGACGTGTGAATAGGAAAACCCAGCACATTTGTTTCACAAAATTACAGGAATGGGCTTCAGCGTTTTCTCTCAACAAAAATTGTAATAAAAGTGAAAAATACTGTTTTCTAATTTAAAAAATAATAAACAGTACTTTATGAAAATTGGATTTAGGGCAATAAACTTTTTGAAATATTACAATTCTGAAGCAAAAAATGATGGCCCAATAATGGAATGCTGTTAGTATTCCGCTTCTATTGAAAGTTAATTGAATTCCACAGTGAAGTGTTGTATTTTCATAATGCACTCACACTGTTTGGCTGCACTGTTTAAAACTGTCTGTGGTTTGTGTACAGAAGCAAACTGGTACCAGTTTACCTTGTCTGCACTGAGGGACTGGGGATTTGTTTCCTTGCCTTTGTTTTTGTGCAGTGCACAAAAATGGTCTAATTTTGATTTGCATTTCAAGAAATAGCCATTTAAGGGGCATCCCATTGCAGGTGCAGCCATCTATGCTGCACTTGCACTTTCTCTCTTTGGTATCAAAATAAACAAGAGTGCTGTTAAAAGTTGTTCTTCATCAGCTTGTAAACGGTAATCCACGTGCCAGCTTGTTTAGACTTTATTTCTTTCTAAGGGAAATGCTGAGGAGTACTGTATAGCTCTTACCAAAAATGGTAATTTTTAATACTTAAAATTAACATGGGCCACCTGTTAATTGTTGGTGGCATAGACTGGAGACCAAGCTCGCCTGAGGAAGTGGAACTTGGTTTAAACTTAGGCTATCTAGGCTGAAAATCCGTCAGAAGAGCTTTTACCAACTTAGATTAGCCTTTTATTTTTAAAGCATCCTTTGCATCATCGCTAACAACGTTATGTTTTTCCCGTGATGCCACTGGCAGGGCCTAAGCAGCACTGAGACTACTTTACTCATCCCTGAACATCAAGTGGTAAGCAGTAAGCAATATTCATGCTTCCTTGCATGAATTTGTGTGGCGTCTTCTATTACAGTTTGCCGAAACATCCCTCACCGTGAAATTTTCCAGTTTCGAGGATGCCATCCTTCCAAAAAAAAAAAAAAAAAAAAAAAGGAATCTTTTCCTAACTTGTCCATTAAGAATGTGGTGTTTGCATTTATTCCTAGCGATGACTTTAAAAAAAAAAAAAATCTAAGCAAATCAAAAGGATAATCGACAAAAATTGAAAAGTTAAGATTGGTGGAGAAAACTGGAAAGTTTGCTTTTTTTTTAATTGTTGTTTTGGTTTGATGGGCTACAGGATATATTCTGACTCTGGTGTTATTAACAAATGTGGGATTCCTTGTTACCATGGTAGCCTGAGGGCTCTGTGAGTCAGCATGATACTTTAAAAAGTTTGAAAGAGCAAGAAACAAACATTGGTGTCATTTGAAACGCGTTGCCTCTTTTTTTTTTTTTCTTTCGTTGTAGCAAATAATAAGGAAAGGCTCAAAATAGCCACTTACTGAAATTCACAGAAAAGAGAACTGTATAAATTCCCAAATATATCGGAAAACTTAAAATGATTATTATTGTTTTATGGAGACAAAGTGCAAAAATTCACTTAAGATGACTGAAGAAGTACATGCTGAGGTGTATTAAAACTGTCTGCTTGCTTACATTGGGCTCTGGTGTCTTCCATTAACACCTACGCTCTCCTAGCATACTTTTTATTTTCCTTTGTTCTGTTCTTGTTTACCCAGAGGGGCTTTTTGTGTGCAGTTTAAATTTCGGTGCAAATATCCCGGTATCTTAAACGGCTTTGAAATGCATGTTTTCAAGCTTGCAGACTTTACCGTGGTTCAGAGTTGAAACACATACTGAAGGTGGAAAAAAAACCAAAAAGCAGCTTGCAAGTTTCAGCTACAAGAAATAACGTGGGGTTTTGTGTTTCTTTGAATGGGAAAGGTGATGGTTTTGTATGAAACCTTGTGAGCTGCATGAAGTCTAACTGGAAACTGGGGTGTGTGGTGTTAAAGTGTGTTGTTAATACGCTCCTTTAAAGTGAGTAACTCTTCAGTTGCACGGATTCCTCCAAGGAAGAATAACGAAGAATAACTTCATGGAAAGGGGCTCTCTGGTAAAATGGGAACTGTGTTTATGGTGCATAAACCAGAAATTTGCCTTTTTTGATTTTCATGGGAGTGCCTGTATATTTGCTTATGTTCTGCAGATGCATTCACAGGAACTTTTTGCTTTTGGAAGTACATTTATATTATTTATATATGTGTATTTTTAAAATGATGTTTAAATTATATATAGGTATATATAAATATATATATTTATATTTATGAAGTTGTATTTAGCAGCACTTAGATCTGCATGTTTTTCCTGTAAGTGTGTTTAATTCAGTGAACAGGAGGAGTATATAAATATTCCATGCAAATTGGGGATCTGAGTGAAGGTGTTAACTTTGGTTTTAAGTCATTTAATGTTTCCTACCCTTTCAGTTATGGAAGCTTCTCTTGTATTTTGATTCAGGTTTTCAACACTTATTTTTTTGTCCATTTCTGTGTTCTGAAAGTTTTTCTGCAGTGGAAATTCATAAATTACCTAATCACTTTTTAATGCAGTTCTGTTGGGTTTTTACCCTGCCCATTTTAGATCTTCTGTGCCTGTGTGATTATCAAAGGTATGCAGTCAATAAAGTAAATATTTGGGTTGGAGACTATCCTGTAAGAAAGAAAATGTTACAAATCGATTTCATTTTCTAATTTCAGGCAGGTTTTTTTTTTGGCCTGGAAATGTAGGACTGTGCCAGTACAACTCTTTGATGTGCTGATGGGGATCATACAAACCAGCTATTGTGTGTTATTAACGTAACCTCAGAGCTGGAGGTGCTTCCCTGTGCTGTAACTCTAATGAAGCTATAATGGGTTCCTCCACCCCAGATTAGTGTTGGTGACTGACTGCTTTGTTACTGAAAGTGCTGCTCTAAGCCACCTTCCCACAAAAAAAAGGTGCAAGATACAAAAAGCAGAAGGGGAGCAGTGCTGAGGTCTGAACTTGCAGTCCCGTGTCTGTGGGGTTGGACACTTGGGAAACCTTGAAGTCTGGGGCATTGAATTTGGGATGGGTGTTTCTGAATGTAGACCCCTAAGGAACTTTGCACTCTTCTGACTGAATAATAATCTGAAAAGTATTGCTTTAGGACAAGTTGCCCCCTGTCTTTGAAGCATGGGCATGGAGAGGGCTGGGATATTCAGCATCAGGGTGTATTTGGAGGAAGCTCCATGCCTGTAAGGAGTGAGCTGTAAGGACATAAAATTCCTGTTAGGTGGATGATGAGAAGCAGAAATCCCTCAGAGTCCTGTAAAAACATACGGGGTTGAATCATTCAGGTATAACCTGCAAAACTTATTTGCTTTTGGGGAACTGTGGTTCCCTCAAACCGCTGAGGGGGAGCTGCCCACACTGCCCGAGGCATTTACCACAGCCCCCGTCCTTCAGCTTCAAACCAAAGCCGTGTCTCTGGGGCACTCTCTGTGCCCGTGTCTGTGGCTGGTGCCACTTCCAGCAGCTGGGTTTTCCCCTCTCCAGCTCACCCTGTCCCACTGTTTGCCTTGGCCCTGGGGAGGCGTCTCTGAGGCACCTGCGGAGCGAGGCAGCCGAGGACTCCTCAGCAGTGCTGGAGAGCCTGGATGGCTCTGAGTGGAGTGTGGGGCCACCAGCCAGCATTTACACACCGTACCCAAACCAGTCTGGGCAGAGAGGGCCGTGGGCTCTTACAGCCTGACTGCAGCTTGGTCCTGTTTGAGTCGGGGTTTCCCACTGCAGGGCTTTGGATCGTGTCTGAGGGGAGGATTGCAAGTGCAGGCACTTGGAGGGTTGTTTGTTAGGTTGGACATGGTCCAATACCCCAACCTCTGCTGGGTGTCTAGACAGAAATTATCGAATATGGGGTCATTAGAAATATTAATATAATTCCATATGAGTCCTGTAAGTTTGCACTTCTGTAGCCATGTGAAAAGAAAATTTCTCTTTTCACGACAGACCATTAGAGCATTCAATTAGCACATCTGTGTGCAAGTTGTGAGGTCACTTAGTTCTTAGAGAGATAATTAGACTATTGAGGCTGCAAATTTACTGCAGGAGGGCAGTATTTGGACAGGTGGTTTTTGTAAACTTGCTCTGCAGCTGATGGATTTATTCAGCTTTTTGAAAGCGCTGGTGAATGCTGAATGTTTGCAGTAGGCTCCTGCAATGAACTTGGATTGGAAGTGACCTCTGAAGGTCTTCTTGGCCAGCCTCCTACTCAAGGCAAGGCTGGCTTCAAACTGAGGTCAGGTTGCACAGTCCTGGCCTAGCTTGACCAGGTTGTGTGGTCTTTGGGGGTGGAGATTTTGCAGTCTCTCTGGGTAACCTTTTGTACCCTTTCCCACTCAACCACGCCCTCACATCCAGTAGAAATTTCCCTTGTTGTGGCTTTTGGCTGTTGCTTCTGGAGTTTTCAATGTATGACTTTGGGCCCCTTCTCTTCTGTAATTCCTCATTGGGCATAATTTAATTATTCGAAAACTTCAGCTCGCTTTCTGTGCTGTGTTGGGAAATTTTAATTTGGTACTTGTGTGGCAGGAGGAATACATTACAGAGCATCTACTGTGATGAGTTGTAGCTTCATTTAATAACTGCACATTGTCCAAGATAATTAATTTGAATACAGTTCTGTAAAGAGCTGCTACTAATCCGTAATGTTTAATGATTCACTGATAACACCAATGCGAATTACGAACTTGTCATATATTTTAAACCTGTAGGTGCACATTTATGCACAAACCTGTATAAGTGTGCAAGACTGATCTTGTTCTCCTTGTGAAATCCAAATGCAGCAAAATGGAAAGGAATAATTTATGTGTTTAATAAGCAGACCTGTCACTATCCATGATAAATAATCCTTTGTACAGAAGGAGAAGGAAGTGATAAGTATTCCCCTTCTCAAAGCAGGTCCAGCAATGACTACTGCATCTCCTTAAATTGATAGTCAGGCCTTTAATGACTGAGGGTTCTGATACATCTTAAAAAATGAGTCAATGTTGATGGCACTAAAGATAAAGTATTACTTCAATTGTATTGAATAATCTAATTATAACTATGCAACACAAACAGTTTGGGATACTCCTTTGGCAGGAGCTTTTTTTGAAGTAAATATTATGTATTGATTTATTTCTTTTTTGTGTATATGATTCTGTGGCTTACACAATGTAAGCCAGTGGTTGGGGTGGCCTTTTTTAGGGCAATCCCCAGCATTGTAATTTGTTAGACTGCACTTTGGGGTTCACTTATTTTAAGGCTGAATAATTACATTACTGTTGATTCTATACAGATGTGAGTGTGGTTCTACGCACCATGTTAATTTGATTAAATCAACATCTAAAGTGTTGCAGTTTGCATGTAGTCACAGTTATATTTACAAAGAAAAACCCAAACCTGCAAGTTCAAAATGGAATGGAAAAATGCTTTTTCTTTTCTACTGTTGGATTCCGTGGTTTTTGTGAACCTCTTAATCGTGCAAGGTTATGTACTGCTTTTGGAAGCAGAAGTATTTTCTGAGGTAGCTGATTTCAGTCATGCAAAGTGGTCTACTTTAATTGATCTGCTGTAAGTATTTCTTGGGAAGAAAAGCCACAGAAAACCCTCACAGAATTGCTGAAGAGGGCAGGCAAAGAAAGGATGGCAGCAATTTCAGGAAATAATTTCTTTTACCTCTTGCAACGCAGTATTTTGCAGCTCCCCCAAAGGCTAGGATAGGGAACACAGGAATTCTCTGTAGTGCGTGGATGCTTGAAGTAGGCTGGTTCCTGGAGTCACCACTGTGTCTAATGGAGATGCAAAAAGTTGTGCAACACCATAGAAACTTCCAGTTATTTGTATTTAATTTCAGCCTACTTGAAGATAAACATGTATCCTGGACTATGTGGATGTTGTTGCTTGTAATTTTGTCAGCTCTGGAATTACGGGTTTGCCACTTGTCTTTTTGTGTCCCAGTGGGTCCAGCCTAACAGGAGTGTAACAGAAACGTTCTGTGCTTGTTGTGTTACCCTTGCCCCACACTCAGACCCACTTCCTTAGTCCTTTTCTAAATCTGCCTCTAAGTATCCAAATGATGGCCACTGGCACTATAGGGGTTATTCTTTAAAACATATACCTGCTGTCAAAACGGATCCCAGCAGCTTCACCTTGAATTGAAAAGACACGATGTTCAGATTATTTGTGGGTGCTCCTGTTTTTCTGATAGCTGGGGGCTTTTCCTAGCTTTAAGGGACACAGAAGTTCACTGTAGTTGGGGTGTGTGCGCTCCAAGCAGGTGGTGTGGTCCTTGGAGGGGAGCAGTGGGCCTGCTAACTACTTGTTGGTTGTTCCAGCAGAGTGGAAGGAGATACAATCTGTTCCTGAAGCGACGTCTCAGGGTAAACCAGTGATGAATGGTATTGCAAGTGGCTTGGATGGCTGCAGTAATAACATGCTTCACTGTGTGATGCCTTTTGTTAACTGGGAGCAAGCTTCACAGTTACAAATAAGTATTCTGCGCTTTCTCAGGGAACCTTTTCACACGTATCCTTGCATGGCGTGAGACGGAGATGACAGAGATGTAGCCCTCTGAATTATTCTGGTTTGTTCCTACTCTCATAAAATGAAAACCCAATTCAGCCCCGTAAAAATACACTTGTGTTGATGGGTGTGGTTAAAAAACACCAGCCTTCCTCAGCAGAGAGGCCAGATTTCCTCCCTGGAATTCCTCAATGTTTAGACCAGACTGTTAACTTCTGTGGAGAGCACTTTGCTGCATGTCTCTTGTACCCAAGATGGTAAAGCTGAATATTGACATGACAACAAATAATATTACCTAATATTGCAAATAATATTACCTAATATGAGTTAACTTCCCTAGGGGAGTGGGGTTACAGTCTTTTATTTGCCTGACATTAATTACTGTGGCCTAATGGATAAAAAAGGTAAATGTTGTTACTATGACACTCTGGCATGCTGATAAATTAAAATATGACCTTTAGTGGATCAATTGGAGTACTAATTATGCTGTTACATTGATACCTTTTATTAGATGTATTTTTTTTTCCCCCATGAAAGTAAATGCTCAATTTTGAAATGTCACTCCTCTGTTGTCTGTGTGCTATTTTTATATGTAGTCATTGCTGGCACGTATGTCTCTGTGGTGGTTGATTTAGTGAATCTTATTATGTAGAGGAAAATGCATGGAATTTACATTTTGCCACCTGCTTCAATTATTCACAAGTATTGCTGCACTAATATATATTTATTCTTTCTGTACCAGTTATTATATATTGTGCTTGTGGACATATGCAGTTAATTTTGAAATTATTTTAACTGGATGTAGCCCTGTTAAATCTTGCCCAAGTATATCTTCAACTATGAAGAAACTGAAGAATTCTTGCAATGTGGGGAAACTTCTTTGTCTTCTGTTATATTTTAGAGAAACAGCAATGTACTTGTTGGGTTTTTTTTTTATTCATATGCCTTTATCTTCTACAGATTGATAAAAGACATCAAAGCAAAGATTCTATTTTCTTCAGGGATGGTGTCAGGAGAATCGATTTTGTTCTCTCCTATGTGGATGATTTTAGTAAGGAATTGGAAAAAAAGTTGGTAAGTTTGTCTTTTTGAAAATCCTCTTAATTTTTATCTCTAATAACCTGAATATCAGTTACTAACTCTTTCAGATCACTACACTCAACTGGAATAGGACTTAGCTAAAAATTTTATAGCTGTGTGAAAAGCCATTCCATGGATGGAAATGTCTGTGTGATTTACTGTTGTGTGTCAGGACCCAATTTTATTGGGTTTTTGGGACTCTGTGTGTTGAATTGATCACTCTCCATTGCTTGGGCTGGGCAATATATAAAACAACTGAGCAAAGTAATCCAAATTGTTTTGCTTCTTCATTGACAGTCTAGCTGAGACTTTGGAGAAATATCTGTAAATGGTTTTATCTGCAAATGCTTTTAAATGCAGGAGGTTTCTTCTAAATAAGCAAAGCATCATCCAAACAAGATTTAACAATGACTATTTTTTTTCCATCCATTGACTGCAGCTTTTTCTAAAATGCCAGTGACTATCCCTGAACTTCCCAGCAAGACCCAGTTGCTTGAATGACACCTATTTGTTCCATGCTCACACTGCTCACTTGTGGCCTAACTCGGCTAAACATGTAAATTCAATCTGTATAAAAAATCCAATACTATGCGATGCTGTCAAGACAAACAAAAAACTTCTCATAAACCACAATATTTAAAAAAAAAAAAAAAAAAAAAAAGATGGATTTTAAGGTGGTTTTTTTCCTCTGTATTTCCTGTCTTCTTTCTGAGTCAGGAGAGGTTACATTTACAAACTGGTCTCTCCAATGTACGACTCCAAAGTTTATTCATGATTTAAAAAAATTTAAAAGAGACACCAAAAACCTTCTTTCTCGTGCAGTCATATTATTTTGAAAAAGAAGGGTATCTGAAAAAAAACTTATTATACCAATGCTTATGACAAAGTCATGCTCAAAACCAAAGGTCTGTAAAGGACAGCTATCTTCGATCTCTTTTCATATTTGTTTCATAATTAGGAATTCTAATTTCCTTTGAACAAAAACTGCAAGATTGAGCAAGATTGAAGGAAATATTGTTTCCATTAAGGACTTATACTGCCTAAATTTGCATCCAAATACGACCCAGTGTAGAGCACAGCCCCTCATCTTATTCATTACCTTAAGAAACCTGGGAATTTCTGTCATAGTCTCTGTTTGATGCTTTTCCCTGTCAGCTCTGCTCAGTGAGCCACATTCCAGAGATTTTCTTGGGAGACCAGGGTTATTTTATAGCTATGGTACCATAGGTTTATCTACAGACATATAAAACCTTTTCAAACTCAAACCCCCTGTCAGGCTGTAATCCTCGCTGCATTCCTCCTTCTCCCATGGAGCAAAATGCATTTTAAAAAAAGGAGGAAGAGGAGATCACTCAGTGTAGAGAGGGGAAAAAAAAATATATCCATGCTGAATTTGTCAAAGCAGCTCTTAAAATAGACTTTTCCATTAGTCATACTCAAATTATTTAAGATGAGGAAAGAAATTGAGACTATTTAGGTAACGTTTCAAGTGGGAAGGAAAATAAGCCAGAGGGGTCATTGTGTGCAGCAGTTTCCTTCTCGTTGCTTTATGGATCATTTGGAGGTAGCAGGAATCCTTGCCAGACCAGAGGCCACGTACAGGGGTGTCATTATTGACTGAAGGATTAATGTGAGGAGGAGCCCAAGAGTTTGTAGCTAATACTGTGTCTCCTCTCTGAGGTAAAAATGCACTTGCTGGGGAAGAAACATCTCCGTCTTGCAAAAGACCAAAACATCCGCATTAAATTTTGTGAGATCTAGTTCTTGTGAATGTCTGTTATTTGGAAAAGAGTTTGTGGCCCCATGGAGGAAGGGGTTTGGTCAGTGGCCCTGTAGATTAGCTCTGCAGTCACTGGACAAACAGGCATGGAGATATCAGTGTTTCTACACAGTTCCTGGGGAAACTGCATTTGCCCTGTGTTTGTGTTCAGCACAGACCTTTATGCAATTAGAATGCCTGTCAAATTTAATGCAGAGTTCTTACCATACAAGTGCTGTTGTCTTTGTGGGAGCAAGATTTAAATATAGGTGCACTGCAGCCTCTGGAATTCATCTGACATATACTGTATTTGGCATTACACAGTCATCACAGGAATGTGGATTTCTTTTACTGTGGCACAGTGATACAGCAAAATGGAACAGCCAAGAATAGGAACGTTCATACAAAGGGAATAACAGCTGTGACAAAGGGTTTTGTTTCCTTGTCTCAAGGAAACAGCTTTATTCTGCACTTCTGAGAATGGGATGAATGACTGCTTTGTGTGCTTCAACATAGCCCTAATACAGATGGAAGAGATGGTCTGTTCATCTTCTCCCTCAGTTTCATGCAGAACGACTGCATTAACTTCTTTGATGTTCCCAGACACATTCCAGCTTCAACGCTGTTTTGAACTTGCCTTCTAAATCCAAACCAGGGATTGGGAACTAATTAGGTTGAGAACTAAAGGTTTTTCACCCAGAGGGTGGTCAGGCACTGGAGTTCAGGAGTTCGTAGAACCACAGAATCATAAAATATGCTGAGTGGGAAGGGACACATCAGGATCAAAGTCCAACTTCTGGCCCTGCAGAAGACAGCCCAGTAATCCCACCATGTGTCTGAGAGCATTGTCCAAATGCTGCTTGAACCTTTACTTCCTAATACCCAGCCTAAACCTCCCCTGAACAGCTTCATGACATTCCCTTGGGTCCTGTCACTGGTCAACAGAGAGACTCACTTTGGAGGGCACATGGAGCCATGTGGGCAGTCCCTGCAGGCTGCAGGAGGGCCAGTTATCCGTGACCTCGTGCTCTCATGGCTCTGGGTGGATGAGATGACAAGAGGCCTTTCCTAAACAGGCTCCATCTCATCTGAAACTTTCTTCCGAGGGCAGCCCGAGCTCAGACTGATCCCATACTGTGTCCTTTAGGATACAGCTATGAGCAGGCTTTTCATACACTTCACCAGTAGAATGTAAATGTTCCCCCAGGCCATATTTGCTTCCCAATATCCTACACCTGACTGCAGTTAAAATAAGCCCGAGAATCCTGATGCATGAACGGCTTTGGTGAGCTTGGTGCTCCCTGCCTAAAGAAAGAGGAAAAGCAAGCAAGAGGAGTTTGATTAAGTTGATTATGTTGTAAACTTAAAATTACTTTAATCTCCTGTCCCTTGACTGTTGTGACAGGCAGTGCCACCATAAACAGGTTTATAGTAGTTGTCTCTCTTCTGCAGATCACACAGTGTTATATCTGCACTGGGCTGTTTAGGGCTGCTGGACTTTGGATCTCGCTTTGTTAATCTTATCAGGATGGTTCCTTACAGCCCAGCACATGTTAGATGATATCTGTGCTTAAACAAAATGTGAGGAAGGGCATTAGCCTGCTCTGGTCTTCACTAATGGGATGACTTGCAGAGCTTCTCTCTGTGACTACAGAGTGGCATCTACAGCAGATTCAAAAATACATGCACCAGGTACAGCTTTTTAGGTTTGGAGCAGGGAACTTAAAATTCTGACAGGTACACATTAAAACCAACCAGCACTGGCCCAAGTGTATGTTGTTTTTTTGGTTGGGTTTTTTTTTTGGTGTTTTTTTTTTTTTCGCAATAGCAGCAGACTGAATTCCTTTTAAAAATGGTTGTTTCATGTGACTGGAAAGTTCAGTGCATTGCAGGGGTTTCAGAGAAAGGGGCTTACGGGAAGAGGGCAAGGTGCTAAAAAGAGAATAATTTCTGTTAAGAGGACTGTAGTTTGTCACACTAAGTGTCTAGTAAGGAAAAATAAGAAAAATAAATAAGAGGCCATACCCTTTGGCACTGTCTGTTCCTTGAGCTGGAGGGGAGCTGTCTGGAGGCAGAGGACCCTTTGAGCTGACTCACTTGGCTTTCTTCCAGCGTTTGCTGGGGAAAGAACGCACACCACTATCCTTTGTTTGGAGAAAATGTAACCCAGAGTAGCACACAGCTTTGGATACCGGGCTGAGATGTCACTGTAGCACTTTAACATGCACTCTTAAATCACCTTTTAGTTGCATTGTTCTGTATTTGATGATCAGGTCGGCATACCAGAGCTCTCTGATGTTTATACAGGTGAATGTAGGAAGTTTAGTGGGATAGATTAATTAAAAAATAGTGCATGGAATTGCATTTGCCCTCAGCTTGTGCTAGAATGGAGGAGTCAGCACATTTGCAAGTTTATATAGTCAAGTGTCTAATTTAATATCTAATAATATTTGGGAAAATCAGACGGGACAAGTAGAAATGAAAGGCCACTAACATATATCAATGTATCTTTAGGTACATTTGAGGGCTGTGAAAGCTTTTCTTCAGTCTGTATTCATTTGTCTGAGTAGTTTATGCACACTGAAATGCAAAAAAAGGCACACTGCTGCTCACAGACATGCAGGGAAAGGAAATTGGCTGACAGCTGTGGTTGTTTGCATTTTTTAAATGTGTTTGAAAAATGTCATTTAAGACCCTTCAATAGAAAAAAACATCAGGCAGCATTGCAGGTTTTAGCCAAAAATAAATTCGTGGTCCAGCTTGTGCATTCTAAAGAGGATAAGGCTCAGATAGTTGGCTTACCTTACGGTTATTCTGACAGTCCTTCAGCAAATTTTATAGAATTAAAAGGAAATGAATGCAGTCTCCCTATAGGAACAAAAATTACACAGAGAAGGAGGGGAAGAAAATGTTCTTCCCTAAAGGCACCTCCTAGGAATTACTTGGCAAAATAAAGAGTTCCAGGAGGATCTCAAGCTCCCAGAGGTCACGCAGCCACCCCTCACTGCCACAGGCAGGTTTGTTTATCTCTGCTGAAGTCCACGGGGACTTTATGCAAGCTAAGCACAGGGGAGGTCACACGTGGTGATTTGTTGGTCTTATCTGGTTTTACAGTGGTGTTTGTGAAGTACTGTTTGAATTGTCTGTAATCGGTGCTTGACCATCTATATCAGGCATAGTTTAAAACAGGTGAATAGATAAACAGATGAGGCTGTGAGCTGTCGGTCTTCCACGTGCTTCCAGGATTTTATTTTCCATCTGGTTTTGATGGGCATTCTCTGAGCAACGTGGCTTCAGCTTGAGCAGTGACACACCCCACATACCATCCTCCTGAAGAGTCAGGAGGGCTCAAAACACAAGACATCAATTCCTTCTCTGATTAACCAGAGCAAGCCTTTTCCTACCCGGTAGGTTTCCTATCGCAGTTCCCGACGTGTTGCCATCACCAAGCTGGCCTGCACTCGGAAGTGGCCTGGTGTGCATCAGCTGGTTTTTGTCTGATTGCTCTTAGCAACTCACATAGCATTAAGGGGTTGTCATCAGGGCAGTTGGGAGAAGCTGGAACTTGGTGAGTCATCAGTAAGCGATCAGTTACTCAAGTGTGTTTATTTCTCTCTAGGAAAGAAGAAAAGAATTTGAGAGCAATCTGCTAAAGGCAGGTTTGGAACTAGAAACAGAAGACAAGAAGGTAAAAAAAAAAAAAATTAGAACCAAAGAAATAGACCTGCAAATTAATAAACCATTTTGTTTCTTTGAGAAAAAATATAAATCGTGCTGGTGGATTTCAGTGGAGTGTGACTAATTTAGGTGGAACAAGAGTAATATATTTATTTGAGTCCTTTTTCTAGATGCATTCATAAGAATTGTGGAAGTGGAATGATTTTGATTCAAGAGGAAGTGATGGCTTTTGATTTCATAACAAAAAGAAAGTGGTTCCAAAATAGCTGTGATTTGATTTAAATCCACTTAAATGGGAAGTGTGCTCACAGCTACATTTAATCCTGCCTAACAATGAGTAATAAGTTTGGAAGGTTGGTGAATGGGTTAGTTATGCCCACTGGACGTTGTAATTATGAGGAAAGGATGAAACAGCTTGAGGATGTTTGATTAGTGTTACTGTTTGGTTTAACTGCTGGAGAACATGGGATTTTGAGTGATGCAGTCAGTGTGCCAGAGACTGGGTGGGGTCAAGTAACTCTTGATGAAGTTCAGACTCTGTAACATCCACAGATGGGGATTCATTGAGCAATATGTTAAAAGTACCTTCTGATTGCCATTTTCTGCTGTGTGTGCAGAGGATCACTGAAAGAACACGCACTGTTGGGTGAGGCCTGTGATAAGAATATTCCCCGTGTTTCCAGTGCATTCAGTGCAATGACAATTTTCAGGCCTCAGTGTATGAGATTAATATAGTTTGAAAAGCCACTGTGAGCTTTCAGTAGGGCAAAGATTGTTTTTATGAACAGACGACCACTCAGATAAGCTTTCCAATTAAAAATACATATATAAAAGAAGTTCCCCTATTTCCTCCTCCTTTTTTTTTTTTTTACTTTAAAAATATGTTAAATTCAATAAATTGTGTATATAAAAAAATTATTCCCATAAATCTTGCAATAAAACACGGCCTGATGTGTGATGTAACCTTCCCGGGGGCAGGAATCCGAAGACGGCAAGATCTTCTTCGTGAAGATCCACGCGCCGTGGGAGGTTCTGATCACGTACGCAGAAGTGCTGAACATCAAGGTCCCCATCAAGGAAAATGACATTCCCTCCACGGTGGAGAACCCCCTGGACTGCATGCTGTTCCCACTCAGGCTGCCCGAGAAGGTGATGCACCCCGAGCCGGATTATTTCACGGCCCCGTTCAGCAAGGACAAGCAGGAGCTGTACCTCATAAACGACAAGAACACTTTCTTCTCACCGTCCATGAGAAACAGAATAGTGAGTGTGTCGAGCTTGGCTGCTCCCATTTGCCTGCAGTTTCCTCTGCAAGGAAGGAGGGTGGTCTAGAAACTGTGGTGTCTGTGGTAGCCTGGGTGCCTGTGTGCCTTTTTTAGGAATCTGTTATATATTTGTTGGAGCGGATCTTCTGGGTGTCTGTAAGGCAGCTGTGCCCTCAGTGTCCTTCTGAAGAAATGCCTCCTGCTTTTGCATATTGTTCCATTCAATGGCTTTAAAGTGGGAGAGTTCTGAAACCCTTGTGTTTCGATCTCAGGTTAATTATATCCTCACACGTTGCCCTTACGGAACAGAAGAGGGAAGAAAAAGTTTGGGATTAAGAGGCTGCTGAACAATGGCACCTATACAGCTGCATATCCTCTTCACGATGTAAGTATTTTAGCTTTCTGCTCCCTTGAGCATTTCCCAGTGTTTTCACTCTTTTTTCCTGCTGTGAATTTGCTGTTTCCAGCAGATATGAAAACGTACTCAAACCCTTCCATTTGTCCCATTGATTCTGTTTAATAATACACAAGACTTATCTACCAGCCCTGCTGTTTGGCTTTTATGTGCTGAAATGCTTCATCCTGAGTTTTGAGGATATACCCATGTGTCAGTCACATCATTTCTTCAGAGACTTTTAAATTTTTTTTCCTTCTGAGTGTTGTGTTTAATTTGTTGCTTAAATTCTAAATTCTCTGCTTGTTTTTAGTAGTTATTTTGGATGTCACACTGCTTCAGTGAACTTAAATTGCTTATTGATATCTCTGAATTCTACCGTAAGGCATTTTTAGATACTTTAGATAGATTTATCTTTTTAAATGTTTGAAATATTTTTTCTTTCCTTAGAAAATAAAAATGAATGGGTGAATGGACATCCCTTAGGTTATCAGTGGGAAAGTTTAGCTGATCAGGATCTATGCTGTAGAAGACCAGTCTAGGCTGGGAAGGAATTTATCCTGTTGGGACTATCAAAACCATAGATGATAATAAGCAAGAATCTCTTCTAAACAACTACAACCAACCTTAAATGCTAAAAAAATCATGTGAAAAAATTCCAAAACTTGTGAGACAGACTCACAAATCTTTGTCTAAAAATACTTATTTAACCTTTTAAAAGATTTTCAAAATGCAAACTTCAGGTTGTTTAAACCTCTTGATTTCTAGTTAGAAACTTAATTTTCCTGCATTTCTTTGTGCTCAAGAAACATTCAGGGTAAAAAAAAAAAAAAAAAGGAAAAGCAAGATCACAAACTGAAGGTTTGGCAGAGGCAAATATTTCTAAAGGCAGAGTTCTGGGGCACAGAATGAAGTTACAAAAGCTGTCAGAAGCTGAGGTTATTTTGTGCTGTTCTGTTTCTGGGAAGGTGATGAAGTTCCAAGGCAGGTAGATACGTGGTAATGACGAACCCTATTGGGGGGGGTGTGTGCATCATCATCATCATCATCAGTATTTGTTTCTTCCAATGTGGTGTTTGAGTCTGTCCATGAGGTGTTTTGACTTTGCTCTGATTTGCTCACAGTGCCAGTACTGGAAGAAGGCAAATGATCCCAACTGTGACAACGAGAGGTACACGCTCTACATGGAGTGGGCGCGTTTCCTGCGCTTCTACAAAGAGCAGCCTTTGGACCTCATCAGGTGAAGTGGTTTGTTGTGTTTCCCTGGTTTTTCACTGCAGCACAGCGTCTGTTCGTTTGTAGCTGGATGCTGCTGGGTGATTTTTGGCACTTCTAAGGTCTGATGAGAGCAGGGTATTAACTGGGCACTCGTCCTTGGAGGCACAGCTTCCCACTAGCAAATGGAAAAATGTTTCATCTCGAGTCAAGCCCCTTCCCATCTACCCCATCCTGGGGTCAGCTACATTACAGATAATTCACATGTAGAGAAACATGTACATAGAATATCTTGGATTTTATAATCGATGCCTACAAGAGTTTTTAAAGGGCAATTTGAAACGTTGAAATTTCAGCACAGACTTCAAAAACACTGATGAAAGCAGTTTGGAAGCTTGAAACTGAGTTGTAACCCCAAATTTAAACTCACCTTACCCAAGATCTCTTTGTTTCAGCCCATCCTAGACAACAAAATGTTACTTTGTTCACAGGTTACAGTTCCCCATTTGTGACACAAGTGGTTATATTTCTGTGGATTATCCATTTCTCCTAACCATAGGATCAGAACTGGTGTACCCAGTTTCACTTGTGTAGCTCCCTGGAAAAATCAGAAAGTAAATCTTCATTTGCATTATCCTGTGGGAAAGAGAAAGAGTGATTTTAAAACTGGAGCTTCTGCTTAGGAGGAAAAAAGGGATGAAAGAGGCCATATAACCTGTTCTTTCAGCTTGCTCATTCAGCTTGAGTAACTTCTCATGGCCAGCTTCAAATCTCATTTTTCCACTGTGCATCATTGCATTTACTCTTCTGTTAAAAGAGAATTTTGCCAAGTGTTTCATTTTTACTCTGGCAGATTGCTCTATTGCTGTTTTAAATTTTGCTTTTTATTCCTGTTAATTGCATTTTTTTTGTTTGTTTGTTTTTGTATTCAGGAAGTACTATGGCGAGAAGATTGGAATCTATTTTGCCTGGCTGGGGTTTTACACTGAGATGTTATTCCTTGCAGCAGTTGTTGGCTTAATCTGTTTTCTTTATGGCTTGTTTACAATGGATGAAAATATGAGCAGGTGAGTGCAACGCTGAAAATCTCCTGGGCAGAGTTAAGCCACGAGACAATTTAGTTCTTGCAAAAAAATCCCAACAGATAACAAGCTTTTAAGGCTTGTCAGATTAAAAAAAATTGTTCTTCAGCTGTCTTTATTGATTGAAAAGGTGGTGGGCCACTAATGCAGAACTTTTGACTATTAATTAGTAAGAATAAACTGACCAACCACAGGTTGACACCAGAGAACGTGACGAGATGTGGCGTCTTTGCTGTGAAGCTGCAAATCCTGAGCTTTGAACAAGTGGAGCTCTTACTTTATTTAATTTTTAAACGAATTTCACAGAACAGCTCTTAAGACAGAAACAGATGCTTTACAATGTTTTCCTCCCCAGCAAAGAAATCTGTGACCCTGCAATTGGAGGAGAGATCATCATGTGCCCTCTTTGTGACCAGGAGTGTGACTACTGGAGGCTGAACACCACCTGCGAGTCCTCACAGGTCTGTGTCTGGTTCTGCAGCCCGCTGTTGTTTTTGTTCATCCTGAAGGCTGTTTGGGTACTGACCTGTTCCTGGGTATTCTGTTGCAGTATTCCCATTTGTTTGACAACGTGGCAACTCTTTTTTTTGCCATTTTCATGGGCATATGGGGTGAGTACGTTTCATAAGTTTTATGGCAAGCAGTAAGATCGTGGCCAAGCTGCTGAGGGACACTGGAAGTGGGAGGAGGGGGAATTCACTTCAGTACCCTGCCTCAGATGCAGAAGTGATGAAAGAGTAAAAATAAGTTTAAGTTACAGGGGAATTGAGAGAAACACAGAGGAATTAAAAACCCCAAAGGTATTTCATTAGCTCATAAAGATCTCTGTGCTAGCAGAAGATCTGCTTATTTGTTACCAAAGGACCTCACCACTAACTTTTTTCATATTGATTTTTTTTTTTTTTATAATCTAATAGAGTGATATTGTAGGGCTGCTGTACCAAACTTGTCTTGTTTTTTAAGCACTAGCATTTGTGTGGCATGGATGAGTCATTCAGGAAGTACCAGCCAAAGGGTTTAGAACTGCAGAAGATAAGCTTTCCTGTGTTTGTACTAACCATGAAGCCTCCCCAGGTCAAATAAGAACAATCAGATTACTAAATGTTTACATTTTAAAGTAGTTTATACAGGGTTCTTAAAGTGTTATATAGCATTATAAACTTTATTGTTGTTTATATATGAAATCAGTTCCCTCTAGTGTCTTAAAAAATTCTTAAGCCAGCCTAAGTCTTGATTCTAAGGAAAACATCAGACATTCACTGTCTTTAAAACGACAATGGTATCAAATAAACATCAGAAAGCAACAGAAATGTTTGAACTTGAATAGCCACGCTGCTTATTTGTAATAGTTGTTCGTGTGTTGCAGGTTTATACACAAGCAATTATCTGTGTTATCAGGTTCTTTTGCTAGTTCCATGTCACTTTTTTGCATATGAAAAGGAGTTAAACTGCAGTTAAACATGGCCCTCATAACTATGGAAATACCTGTTTATCTTGGCATCTTCCTTGTCATCCACCTCTGGAATTTAATTAGCTAGTAAAACTCTGGATTCGTGTTATGATCTCAGCTGTGAACCCTAATAGGCAGCCGGTAAAAATAGATGGGTTGCACTGTGGGGATAAATAATAAACCACAGAACAGAAGGCAGTGCAGAAGTTAAGGTGAACTTGGTTCATGAACTTACTCATTTCTTCCTTAACCGTATTTGAACCACTTTGCAAATCGTAGTTACGCTTTTCTTGGAGTTTTGGAAGAGACGGCAAGCTAGACTGAAATACGAGTGGGATTTGGTTGATTTTGAAGAGGAGCAGCAGCAACTCCAGCTGAGGCCTGAATACGAGGCAAAATGCACCCAAAAGAAGAGGAATCCTGTCACTCAGGTAACGAGCGTGCTGGGCTGACACTCGTGCAAGTTCAGTTGTACGCCGAGAGTTTCATCGTGTGGAAATTGGTGTGTTAAAATCAGGAGAACAAAGGCAAAGTTTGAAGCTTTGATACCATCTTTGCAGCGTCCTTTCACGTTGCAGGGCAGCAGTCTCTGAAATCTTCTTGCCTTTAAAAGCACTCTTTCTCATCCCTGCACAACATAGGAAGAAGTAGGTGTCTGGATCTAAAGATAGATAAGTGGGTCTAGCTGTGGTTTTGGTTCTGATTACAACCACTTTGTTCAGGGAACACTGGAGAGATGAAGGTTGCTGAACTCCTGTCTCTGAAATCCAATTGAGATACAATTAATGACACGATTTAACACACTATTATTGAACACTCTGTATAAATATTTACTTCACAGCTGTGCCAGGGGAGGTTTAGGCTGGACATTAGGAAGAAATTCTTTACACAGAGAGTGATCAGACATTGGAATGGGCTGCCCAGGGAGGTGGTGGATTCACAGTCCCTGGAGGTGTTTAAGAAGAGACTGGATGTGGCATTGAGTGCCCTGGTCTAGTAGACAAGGTGGTGTTGGGTCATAGGTTGAATGATCCCAGAGGTCTTTTCCAACTTGGTTGATTCTGTGATTCTGTAATTGTTTTCATTTAAATTTAGTTTAGGTAGGAGTGTTTGACAAACGTAGGGATCGGCTGGTTGCATTCCCATATGACACCTACCACCTCAGTTTGATGTAATTTTAAATCATCTTTCATAGAATTGCATGTAAATAGCTTATTGGCACTAGGACTAAGTATACTTAGGTAACAAAGTCTTCAGAAAAGAAATAGAAGCTTAGCCAGAACAAGGGAAGAATCATTGTCATGTAAACAGCAACCCTGACTTTCAGGGTTTCTCTCCTTAATTAATAAGAAATACATACACTAATCTTATTTCTCATGAGAGTTTTTCCCCTTCCACACGTGCAGCATCAATTCTGCTGTTGTACTTGTAACTAGTACAGTGCACACGTTGCACAGAGCTCTTGGATAACCATGCACTGTGATTTCAAGTGTTACTCTGCTGGCTTTACAAGCCTTATTCTCTGACACATCAATTTATTGTCCTGGTGGTTTTTCAGAAGCCTTTTTGCAGCAGGGTTTAGCAGTGATCCTTATCAGTACCCACTAACAGGGTGAGTTGCACAAGGTTGCCACTCTGTGGTGTAATGTCCTTTCATCACAACGTGTGCAATACTGAGCACGTGAAATGGCAGTGCTTTCAAATAAGTTAATTCTGCAGACTGAAATGGTTTTGTGGTTACGGGGCAGTGACTTCATTGTGTCCCACAGCTGGCTTTGCTTCTCTCAGAAAATTGCTTCCTCCTCAGTCCTGTCCAGGATTCAAAGTTGTAGGTGCACTGAAACCAAAATTGCCCATCTGGAGGCTTTGATCGACGACTCGTTTGTTTATGATGCTAAACTATCTATCTAGATCATAGCTAAGATCTGGTTTTGCTGATTGCAAGAGAATTCTAATTGACATAAATAATGAAGCATTCGATTCAAACACAGGCTCTGTCGTTGCACTTTACTGGCTACATTTCACTCCTACAGTATAAAACTTGTTGAATGGCCTAGAACATGTGAAATATTTGCTCTTGGGATAGAATATGTGTAAGCTTTCCACAGTGCCTTGTCCCAAAGATTTATCAAATTCAGGGTTTGTTTTTTTTTTTTACTAAATCATCTTCCACTGGCATTAGTTCTTGAATGATCCATTCATAACACATGTAATTTGATATTTTAGGAATTAGGATAGGTAGCAAAAACTTTACACATGTGTTATATGGGGATACTGGCACGAGTAAGACCCAGTTGCCTGGTGCTTTAGCAGAGCTTGGCAGCTACGTTAGTAGGCAATTCTTCAAGCAAAGAACCAATAAAATTGAAGGAGTGGAGGGAAGCACTCTCTGACTGGCACATACAAATCCTCAGCATGAAGAATTTATTAACCTTGAGTTGAGTTTTGGACTCAGAGCTGTGTGGCAGCTGACCTAGCATTACAAGTAATAGTTCATGAAGTTGGTCTTTTTCCTTCAGCTGCTGATTGATTTTGCAGAGGTTTAACCATTCTTCCCAGGTACTGTCTTTACTTTTAGCAGTTTTATGGCCACTTCTGTCCTGATCTTCTCACACCCCCTGGCCCAGCACATTCAAAATCATGTCCTGTCTGCCATTTTGGAGAGTGGGGGTCCATTCTGAGGGGCTCTCCTTGGACGTGGGCACTTCCACGCAGCTGATGAGAGCTCTGTGCACCGCTTGATGTTGGAACAAGATGTTGGAATAAGCTGAACTGTGCTCTACTTGACTGTTTCAGGAGATGGAGCCTTATTTGCCTTTAACCAGCCAGGCTGTGCGGTTCTGCATCTCAGGAACTACAGTGTTGTTCTGGGTGAGCATCTTTTTGAACCGTTGCTTTAACGCAGGTCAGAGTTGCTGACAGTTTAATCTAACTTGTCCCTTCCGCCTCCATTTCTGTGAGCCTGTGTTCTTCTGGTTTGTTTTTTTGGTCTTTTTTTTCAACTATTGGTATTAGTTTGTCCGCTTTTCCTGTGTTAACAAAATAATTTTGATGGTTTTAAAGTACCTGACTCAACAAAGGCTTTTGCCTGCATACTTTGCATTTGCCACTGAACTGATGCTCACAGAGGACCCAGTTTGACAAATACGAAGCACCGTGGTGTGCATCTTGTTTCCAGAGCTCTGTGCACACAGCTGTGCTGAGCTGCAGCTGCATCTCACCTCTCTGCCCCTCTCCCAGGTGTCCCTGATCATAGCCAGCATGATAGCTGTCATCGTGTATCGCCTGGCGGTGTACGCGGCCTTCGCCAGCCTCATGGAGAACACCCAGACCTTGCAGCCCATCAGCGGGCTGCTCACCCCTCAGCTGGCAACCTCAGTCACCGCCTCGTGCCTCAATTTTGTCATCATCATGATACTGAACTTCTTCTATGAGAGAATAGCCATCTGGATTACCGATATGGGTAAGCAAAGGGGTACTGGAAGACAAAGCTTTGGAAGGCGGAACCCGTCGTCGTTCTTAACTCAGCACTGTAGCTGGAAAGCTGCTTGCAGCAGCTTGCAGCAATGACTCGACCATACTGATCATCTTCCCTCCATCTCAGTAGTTCTCATAACCTGATTTCTCTTTGTATAACGTTTGCTTAGATTAAAACTGGTCCACAGAGGCAATCACAGATCTGAACATAATTATCTTGTATTATATTAGAGTCACCAAAGCAAGATCAGACTGTGTTGATCTAGCAGCATTTCAGTTAGAAATCCTGTAGATGTGTTTCTAAAAACAGATCACTGCCATCTTTACAAGGAAAAAAAGACTAGATAATCATGACTCTTAGTTTGAAGGGGGAAAGAAAGGAGGGTGGAGGATAGGATAGGACAATACATTTGTCATTTTTTCCTGAGCGCTGCTTCCCTTGGCTCTGTCTGTTCAGATTTGGAGTTACACAGGTGGAAGGCAGAGGCTGAGCAGGATGAGAAGCTGTGCCCAAGATGTGTCACTGTGGCTTTAGCATGTCCTGCAGAGCTGGAGGAGCCAGCAGGCAGGCAGGTCCAGAAAGATCAACTACTTCTGTAGCAGAATATTTTTTATTTGACTTCTGCTTGCATGCTGGAAATACCTTTCCCTAGAGCCCTCTGTACATATTTGATTTGATTTGATTTGTCCTTAATGATTTAGCTGTACAAATCCCTGCAGGTGTTTTATAGAAAGAAAAAAAAAATGTAGAATACTCAGCTTGGAGAGGAGAGCTGAAAATACTAGGTGCTTGTAGTTTGTACAGCTGTCATAAAAACAGTTGGGTGATTTGCAAGTGGAATTAAGAATTGAAAGGTGTTTCTTGTAGAAACTTAAAGGTGTATTTCATTTGGTTTCTTTTGATTTATCAGGGACCATCTCTTGTCTCTGTGATCTATATGGCTTATCTCACTTGGCCCAATCAGACCAAGCTGAAACAGAACAAGTAACAAGTTCAATTACCCGTAGCAAACATGGAAACAAAGGGGAAATCATAATTTTTTTTGACCTTCCTTTCTCGGGGCACAAAAATTATTGGCATGAAGGCTGGTTGCAAGTGTGGAGGATTAATTTCTTGAGTGTTAGCACTGGCTGTGGTCGTGGGTTTCAGGGGGAACGCAGCAGTTCACTTGTGTGGGACTGCTGCCCTCCTCGGGCTGCCGAGGCGGCTGCGCCCAGCCCGGGCTACCAGGAGTGTCTGGGCAGAACTTCTTCACCCTGGAACTCCCTTGGGACAAGTTAGGCCAGATCTGGTGTTCAGACCTGCAGGGACAACCTGCCTCTAGTGCTCTGAAGGTTTTGTGTGCCTGGCATCAATAATATGAACATCTCAGTGAAAATACATCACATTTATGTTTTTAAACCTTCCCTGTTCTTCCCCCCATTATGAGACTCATCTTTCAGAGGCACATCCAATTTATGCTGATCTCGATGTTAACATACAGCATTTTGTTAAAAAAACACACTGTAGCATACTTCTCTACTACAAATTAAAAAAAGAGTGACGTTCTCATTGCTAACAGTGCTAGTTCTCATCCTTCAGGAGGCCCTGCTAGTTACTGCTTGAAAGTCATCTTGGATCTCCTAAAATAATGTAATATTTGGGAATGGATAGGTGCCAGTGGACAGTACAAAGAAGTGGAAATTAAAGCTAATAAAAGTTTAAAGCATGAATTTCCTTTGCCGGCCTGCTCCTCACATTTCATTATAAATTAATGGTAGGATGTCTGAGAACAGGAGCTTCATCTGATGAAATATTTGTAGGTGTTTTCCTTTTTTTCTTTTTTCCTTTCACATCACTAGTGCATGACGAATATTTTATGAATCTTTATCGTTTTAAAGGGAATAAAGGAGAATAAAATTGCTGTTTTTTGGTTTCACAGAGATCCCCAGGACTCACATGGAGTATGAGAACAGGCTCACTATGAAAATGTTTTTGTTCCAGTTTGTCAACTACTATTCATCCTGCTTCTACGTGGCCTTCTTCAAAGGGAAGTTTGTTGGTTACCCAGGTGCCTACACATACATGTTCAATCGCTGGAGAAATGAAGAGGTGAGACTTCCTTAATTAAGGTGAATTGTTCCCTTCAGCCCCTCAGTGCAGTCATAAATTTCCAATTACAGTTGTTCTGAATTGTTCTGAACTGAGCTGGACCTCAGCTGACCATCCTGAGGCTGATGGTGGGGCTTCCAAGGTCCCTTCCTGCTGTTGCTAGTCGGGAGAGCACCAGCAGTGAAAACCTGTCTGTCCCCAGAGTGGAAAATCAAAAAGCTTTCCTCGGCCCCGGTTCTCCTGAAATACCAGTGGGTCTCGCCTTAGCTCTTTAAAATAAAAAAGGTCTGGTGCTGAGAGCTCACTGAGAGCCACAGATTGGCCTTCCTGGGGTTGAGGGGTGGGAGCCACACACAGATTCTGCTGCTGAAGCCTCTGTGAGTTACTCTGTCTTCAAAGGGTGGTTGTGCTTTGGCACACGTGTTTTATCACACACTTTTTAGTGCTGAAAGCCTTCCTGAGAGGGGAGCTTGGCTGGCAGCCCAGCTGGAAATTCAGTGTCATCCTAACAAGTTTGAGAAACTCCATTTCTTTCACTTCTGCAGTAGCAGAGTATGGTTTCTCTGGGCAGTGCCCCTTACTCGTGTCCATTAACCCCCGGTCTGTCTCCCCCAGTGTGACCCCGCGGGCTGTTTGATAGAACTGACGACACAGCTCACCATAGTCATGGCTGGCAAACAGATCTGGGGGAACATCCAAGAGGCCTTTGTACCGTAAGTTCTCTCTTCCACTGAGATGCTCATCTCGTATAGCCAGAGGAAGTTCTTGGGAGGAGTGATAACAAGTATTGCCATATGAAGAAATTAAGAATTCTGTAAATCAGACACAAATTCTGATGAGTAGACTCATTTCCTAGAGGCTTTTGGCCTCTTCCTGTGAAAACACATTGCTTGCTCAGAGAAAGGGAAGACTTCACAGATTTCACAAAATATTCTGAGCTGGAAGGGACCCACATGGATCATCAGTGTCCAGCTCTTGAGTTAAGTGGCCCATAGAGGGATCAAACCCAGGAACTCACTGTTATTAGCCCCCTGCTCTTACCAACTGAGCTAATCTGATCTGCCTCACTCATTGTTAACTTTTCTCTGCATGTGCAGCTGGATTTGTAACTGGTGGGGTCGTCGGAAAGCCAGAAATAATCCCGAAAATTTGTACAGTCGCTGGGAGCAAGACCACGACCTGCAGACATTTGGAGCCTTAGGCCTGTTCTATGAATACTTAGAAATGGGTAAGTTTAAAATTACGTGTTTGGAATCGAGGACAAGACACCTTGTACTGACACTTTCAAAAAAAAATCTTCTCGATTAATTGTTATGGGTTGATTCATCTGCTTAGCTGCTGGAAATCATTAAATAGGTCAACCTAATTAAAAAAAAGAAAAAAAGCTGTCTTTGCATCTTGAACTGCAGGGAATTTCACAGAAACACTGCAAAGGCTGTTTGTTTCCCTCATTTGAACAGGGAACATTATTCTCAGTGCAGCCCGGCTGCCTCCGTGTCTGTTCTGTTCTTGTTCCAAAGCGTATTCTTAGCTGATGTCAGTGGAAATTTTAAGCATGGGATGAGTGCCAGATATGCTGCAAGGATGGGTGCTGCAGACATGAGATCTGTGAACTGGCTCGGGGAGAATCCCTTCAGCGTTAGGTTTGCACTGATCAGTGCTCCCCTGCAGCCCAGCAGAGGGAGCCTGGGTAATGGAGCAGGGCTTTCCAAAGGTGAGGTGAGCACCTCAGCATGTGACATTGGTTTACAAGACCTGAGAAACTAAAACTGAAGCTGAAGCCAAGCTCAATCTAAAAGGCACTTCGAAAAAGTTAATATTTCTGCTATTAGAAGGATACGTTTTGTTGAAAAGTGGACCTTTGTATGATTTGATTTCCACAGAAATAAGTGTTTTAGGGATGTTTAGAGTTGTCATTGTCACTTAATTAATTTCATACAACACTGTGATGTTGTGAAATTAATACACTTGGAACAATCAGTGTTTTCAGCCCTTGCTCTTCCAGAATCAACTGAACCCATGTGCTCCAACGTTGTCCTGGGGCTGCTAAGCTAATAGGAATTTTGCTGCTTGTCTAAGGTGAAGAACTCATCACTGAAATCATGGAAGAGCTGATGACTGGTGTATGGGAATTTATTTTTATCCACTGTCTAAACCAGAAAAAATACTCTGTTTCCTGTTTTTGAAATATAGTGGCGGTATTGGCTCTGCACTGAGATATTTCATTTTGGTACTATCTGAAAGGATCATTTGTGTATTTTATTTGCAGTTCTTAAACTAATGTTAAGACTCTCCAGTGGAACTATTGCATACAGAATTGATATTTGTTTTGGTAAAGAATTGGTAAAGTTTTGACTAAATCATTACCAATAGGTGGAGGTAAAGTTGTGATGAAAGTATTTCCTCTTTTTCAGTTAGGAGTGTAGTTAATAAGTAAAAGGAGAACAGGATTGCTCTGTACAAACTGCAGGAGAAAAAAACTAGCTTGTTGCCCTCTCATAACTTAGAAATTTGTTGTATGAGTTCATCCCAGTTGCCCAGCAGTTCCACACCACTCATGCAAGAACTGGCATCCAGCACTGCTGGCAGAAGTTTGCCAGTTGTCTGCGAGTGGTGGTCCCTCGTCACCCTGAGGTGAGGTGCCCCTTTTGTAGGGGCAGATTTTGACACTTTTCCTTCTCTCCCTTGCAGTCATTCAGTTTGGATTCATCACCCTCTTCGTGGCATCCTTTCCCCTGGCTCCCCTTCTTGCTCTGATGAATAATATCCTGGAGATTCGAGTGGACTCCTGGAAATTAACCACCCAGTACAGGAGACCTGTGGCTGCCAAAGCACACAGCATAGGGGTCTGGCAGGAAATCCTGAATGGAATGGCCATCCTGTCTGTTGTCACTAATGTGAGTATGTTAACTGTGTGCTACATCAACGCTGGTTCTTCCATGTGAAATTCAGTAATTCAAAATGTGAGGAATTCAAAATCAGCTGATGCTTCTTGTCCTTCATCAGCGCTGTGTCACGTTGCCCTACAGTGATATCATCAAACCATTCGGGGTGGTTTGGCTTCTCCTTGTGTTGACAACGGGCAGATCCCAATCCACGTTTCCTTTCATTCAGTTGTCTGTGTTTTCCAGCCTTTTTGGAATGGCATAGGCCAGTCAGAGGCTTAGTCTGATGAAGCACACTGATTGCCCAGAAGGGACTGTAGGGGACAGTAGGAAAGGTGGATGAATTCTGTGGATCAGGTGCACTTCTATCCTTATCACTATGAGGCCTGTTCTGTGGGAATTGTGCTCATTCAGGTGCTTCTGGATTTTCTTGTGGCTCCACTTCATAAATTGGAAACTATGCCAGTATTTCACCTAAAACATACTGTAAAGAGACTGCTGAGCAAAAGAAATTCCTCTTTCTAGTGTGTTTTAGGCAACAAATCCACTTGCAGGTATTGCTTTAGTAGCAAAGGCACCTCAGCACTTCCAGTTTCTCAAGTTTCAAGGCAAAATGTGCTGAGGCTTCACTCAGCATCTCTTATCAAGTGCCCTAATCCTGCTTTTTACCCTTCCTTAAAATATTCAGGGTAATTCCAGGGTGACAGAACTACAACCCCTTTATGAATCTGCTCACAGCTTTTTTTGTGCCGCTTTCCTGATTTCTTTTTCCTGTTTCTTTTCAGGCTTTTATTGTGGCATTCACATCAGATATGATCCCTCGTTTAGTTTACTACTATGCTTATTATGAAAATGAAGACTCACCTATGTCTGGGTACATAAACAACAGTCTGTCAGTGTTTCTAATCTCAGATTTTCCTGACAGAAACAAACCTAAAGAGAATCCAGAAAACTTCGTCATATGCAGGTCGGTGTAATAATAAGTATTTTATCACTTCATTTAGAATACAGCATAAAAAAGCAGTGCAAACCAAAATAGTCCATTAGAAATTAAATTATGTCACTGTGATCATCCTAAAGTGTGAGAGGTAATATTTAGGCTATCAACAAGGTAATGCTTGAGGTGGTAAGAGATCAAGCCAGTAACAAAAAAAAAAAAAATCACCATTTGTGTGATGGTGTAGAACACTTACTCAGGACTGTCCTTCCATGAAACCCTGCATCTCTCCAGTCCACAGCCTGTCACATTTATTCAAATACATGTCTGTTACCGTGTGATACATCCCATCGCTCTGCCCTATATTATTTGATCATTGCCTGAAAAACAAGTAACCCGTGTGCCAGATCTCACACGTCGCACGTCCCCTGCTCTGCTCTGGTGCTGTGAATGTGAGGGTGTTTAGGCAAACGTATGATAGGAACAAATTTGAGAGGTAACCTTTTTTCTGCAAAAGGAGACAGACCATTTAAAACAAGAAAAGGTTCCTTAAGTGACAGCTGTATTTGCTTGTAAGTGTCACTGAGCTTGTAGTCTGTCCCAGGCTGACTGTGACATTTCACCTTTGCATGTCTATCATTCCAACAGGTACAGAGACTATCGATATCCTCCAGATCATGAGAGGAGATACTTACACACTATGCAGTTCTGGCACATTCTTGCTGCAAAGCTGGCCTTTATAATCATTATGGAGGTATGTTGCCTGCAAAATTTCCTTCTGAAATTGGTACCTTATAGATTTTCTAGATAGTTATTATGAAATAATTTTTTCTCTAAGTAATACCAAGTACTCATGTCCTAAATGATTACTATTAATAGGCCTTTCAACTTCAAGTTAACCTCAGATTAGGAGCAGTGAAGACAGCTGAGGAGACTGCTAATGTTGATCAGAATCCCCAGCAAAATAAAAAAGGTCTTTATGCAGGTGGAAGAGATGTGAACCACCAGGACTAGCACTTCCCACTTGTCTGGCTTTCACAAAATCCTTGTCTGGATTTCACATGAAATGATGTATGATTTCATACATCACTTTGCAGTGATGTATATTGGCTAAAAATAGCTAAATCAATGGTTTGGCTAACTGGCACTTCAGTGTTAAGCCACTGTTGAGCAAGTTATGAAGGGAAAAGGAGTAGTTAAAGTGCTCTTCTCATCACTTTTCCTGCTGTGCTTTATCAGCTCTCAGTAGCTGAGCGTTATCAGCACGGCTGTGTGAACTTTCTGACAAACCACACAGGGGACTTAGAGATTCAGACCCTGACGCTTCCCTCTTGGGTTGGCTAAGTCATTAATGGTTGGGAATGAAAATTTCTGCATAAAAGGGTGTGTTTTATTTAGATACACATTAGCTTGGTATTATTTATTGTTCCAGGACAGCCAAATGAGATGTGTTCTCTTTGTGAAGAGAAAGTGACGTATTTGGTGTTAGATAAAACAAGAAGTGTTTTGTTTGGTAATGACTTATTCCTTCTTTTTTTTTCTTTTTTTTTTTAGCATGTTGTGTTCATCGTCAAATTCTTTGTAGCCTGGATGATTCCTGATGTCCCTGCAGATGTGAAGGCCAGAATAAAACGTGAGAAGTATTTAACACAAAAAATCCTGCATGAGTATGAACTTGAAAAACTGAAGGAGAGACTGTGCCAAGGTGATAAACGAGCCACGGAGAAAGAGTTCATCGCCACGGAAGGGAGGATGGAGTTATCCAGAGCAATGTAGCCCTGAAACCAACTGTTTGGGATTTAGCTCATTTTAGCTTTTTTTTTTTGTAATCTGTGGTTTGCTCAGTATGCATCCTGTCGAAAGCTGTAGGAGAGTTCAATCCTTCGCTTTCAGTCCAAAGATTTTAGGCTTTTCTTTAAAAGCTTTACTGAGCTTTCAAGGTTTAGGAAATCAACTGTTTGACTTCGGCACTGGTTTTTATTTGCCCATGACTTTGACTAAGAACTGTAATCTTGTAATCCTAGAATTTGGACACCTGGTACGGGGATTGTTACCTTCAAAGGGCTCACAGGATATGATAAGGTCGTTATCACCAAGCCCTCTCCCTGTTGGTAACTGCGAAGTTCCAGGACTGCTCTGTGGAAAATGCTGAGAATTATTAATTTTGTTACGTGATCATTTAAATAGGAGAACACTCCTGATACAAGGGTTAGGATTTGGGGCTTTTTTTTTTTTTTTTTTTAATATCCACTATGTCTTATGAAACATTGGTTTGCAGCTTTGAACTTCTATATACTTTGTAGAAGGAACTGATTTTTAAAGTTGGCTTAATTCCACTTGGAATTATTTACAGGCACAGAATTCAGTTAATACATACTAGTGAAGTAAAAAAAAAGCCATAATTTATTTTTATGAAGATACAGTTTGCCAAAGAGTTTGCTCTTTAAATGTAGATATTGTGGAATCATCTAATTGCAGTGGCTCTTGAAAATATGTATTCAATGTGGAGAAGTACAGTTATTATATTTCTCAGTCTCAAAAACTGCCATTTTTGGAAGATTATGTTTGCCAGTTTTGGCCAAAGCTGCTCCTTTATTTATTTATTTGTTTGGATTCTCTGTGAATGCCAGCAAAGAGCTAAAGCTGTGTCTGTACTCGGTGCATCCTGTGGGGTGTGACTGCACAGGGCAGTGGATTTGAAGCTGGGTCACCACACTAATTGATCCAGCTGGATGGTTTGTTCTTGGACTTTTATCCAAAAGATTTTAAGCAGGCCAGATAATCTGTGCTTATGCTCTTACTGTCCCTATACATAGGAGCTTGGGGTTTTGGGGTTGTTCTTTTCTTTTTGTGTTTTTGTTTTTGTTTTTTTTTTAAATTTTGAATCTTTAAGAAGGGTATTTTTCTCTGTTTTGTTATGTGGCTTTTCTACAACATGACTGAATTTATAAATATATAATAACTACTTGTGCAAAGTATCTTCCAGCTGTTTATGAATGTGCCCTCATTTTCTAATTTGAAGCATTTTAGGCATTTTTATCGTTTTGCTGTATATTTAAAACATATCAGCGCTTCCATGCTTAGTGCCTTGTTTCTCTGCATTTGGCAAAAGGTGTGAAAATAATCTCTGTTGGGCAGTGCCTATTTCCAGAGCGTGCTTTGCAGGCATCTGTGAGCCTGCAGACTGAGCTTGTTCAGTGTTAGCCAAACCGTGCCTGCCTTGGCCCACTCCTGCTTCAGTGCCACGTGAACTGATCCAGGGAGCACTTCATGCCTTGGTGGCTTAGTTAAAGTAACACCACATTGCTGAGTTCTCTCAGGCTGAAGTGCAGAGGGTAGACAAGATTAGGAAACTTTACTCTATTTGCACTTTGAAAGTTATACTTCCTTGCAAGTATACACAAAAAAAAAAGGAGCTTTGTGTTCCACATCAGCCTGATCGTGTACTTGTTTCCTGGTACCACAGCTTAAGGTATGTTGTTTTCTTGGTGAGTAACCCTAATGTTGTAACAGTTTTAAATCAGTGTCCTGAGTGGAGCTGTTGTTATTAGCAAAAGGCTTAATATTAAAGTGCCTACCTCGAGCAGACATCACATGGTTTGGCTGCCAGTCAAGGAGATGATGCAGATGTACATTTCTCGTTACTGTAAGTTATTCACCCTCGTTCTCTGAGTTTTGCTTGAGCAATCAAGCATGTTGGCAATTCATGTCCATCATGAACTGATCATGTTCTTGAATATTCAGATATCTTCGTAGCGGATTTATTAGAGGAATGCATGTGTAAATAAATTAGCTCTGCTGCTTAGTGTGTAAGCCAAAGAAGAGTATCATTCGCCATGATTACATATCCAGCACCACAATTTGCACAATGAAAGCACTGTGCTGCTTCTTGCACATATGCTGTTAATTAAACTGCTTAATTTAGATGTCATGGTTTTGCTACTGTTAGCAATGCAAACAGTTACTTCAAACAGGAAGGTGATGAGATGCTAAAAGGATATTTCTATGCAAAACGTACAATCTGATTGAAGCTGCAAACAGATCTGGAAATTCAGCATTAGAATATGTCGTAATGCTTCATGGTATTACTTTTTCGTATACGGAAACTCTTGAAAAGAGAATTTGTTGTCGTATTAAGAGCTAACATCACATAACAAAATAAGCCTTTACATAATATTTTGCCTTCACCTGTCATTAAGCAGTATTCTAACTAAAGATGGTTAGGTTTATAACGGTTCACATACATTTCCTGAAACTCTTGAAAAAAAAGTGACAAAAGTCAGAAAAGTGGCCAGGTCAGTTTGGAGATGTGCTGATTCTTAATAATGGAATATTTCATTTTGATGGGTTTTGGTACCTAAAAGTGTTCTTTAACCAAAGCTGAAGAGAGTTCTGAGTTGGAACTACTGTAATTTAAGCAACAATAGATTGCCTCATTAGAATGAGTTAGAAACCCAAAAATTGCCTTTCAGCTGTAATACAATCAGGGATTTTTTTTTTTTCCACTTAAAATTTAGGGGTTTTTACCTGGGAAAGATTTAATGTGGTATGTTCTAAGCAAAGGACTGCAAGAGAAGAGTGCTACTACGAGACACTATACTGTTTTTTTTATAGAAAATGTTCTTACTATGCTTTACTTTTTTTATGCAATGCTGTCAGTTTGAGGCTACAGAATGGAGTGAAAATAGATGGACTTTCTAACTGTACTGCTGACTTTTTTTACATGTACTGCTTGTTTGACTTGTACCGTCATGTAATCCGAGTGGCGTTTTTGTCTGCTAAGTTTGTTGCTGATATATCTAATACACTAATGTCGGAGTAAATTTTTTAAACCTTGCATTCAGCTAACATTTAATATGCACATTGAATAAGATTTAAATCTGGCCAATAAAGCTGTGTCTGTTTTTAACGTGCTGTCAACTCGTTCGTGCAAACTCCACGAATTCACAGAGGAGCTGAAATATCGGAAGTCAAAATGCCCGGAGAGCCTCTCGGAGAGGAGCATTCATACAGATTTCTGCACCTCATGTATGTTACACATTAACACAGATCCATTTTCAGCCAGGCTGCTTTTCCCCCTGCGCTCTCCTGAGTGCAGTTTTTATTCTTGCTGTGCCAGGACCTGAGGCGACTTCTCGAGTTCTCAGTCCCACGTGCGGTTTTCACGCGCAGCACGAGTGGCTCACATACGTTCCCTTTAAATAGCCTGGAGCACACACACACACACACACACACACACACAGTGGAAGACATGGCAGAGCTGAAGCTTTCCCAAGCAACTGGTTAAGTCTTACTAGGCATATTTTCCTTAAAACTCACTTCTGGCACCAGTGAAGGGCTTTGGATTAAACCTCAGGGAGTCTGGGTTGAAGTTTTTGTGGCTTGCTCGCCAGCAGATGGTTTTATCCCAGCACGTTGCCTCTCCTGTTGTACCACAGGGTCAGAACTCTGGGAACAGGGTCACCTGCCACACTTGGTGGGTCATTTCCTTTGTAGCTTCGAAATGATAAATTAAAGGACATGCAAGAGCAGTGGTCAAATTAAAGAAAGGTATGAGATGATTAAAAGAATCTTCTCTGTATCAAAGGAGGGGGAGAAAACGCCAAAATAAGCAAGGTATTATGTATTGTGGTGTGCTTGTTACTGAGGTGAGATAAGGTACTTAATTAGCTATCAAAGGCAAAACTAGAGCATTAAAATGGAGAAGAAAGTGGTAGCAAAGGGGGGGGGTGGAAGGATGAGGGAAAAGTGCTGTTGCTGTGCAGGATACAGGGGATATTTATGTATCATGTTGGGAGTTTTCAGATGCATTCAGGCTTTGTTCTTTGGAGGTTAAACCTTGCCACCACTGAGGCCTGTGGTAAATGGGTAATTCAAGGTTTAATTGGGGGTAGAGTATCATCCAAACCCCATTATATTTTATTAAAAAAGTAGCATGGTAGCTTGTGAGACAGTCACGAATTCTGGAACATACCTGGCTTTCCCCATGATTGGAAACTGCAGCTACCCATCAAAAGTCTTAATTCCTTCATTTATCTCGTGCAGTAAATGAAGAAATGCACCAAAATTCAGTGGTCGCAGTTTTTGAATCAGAAAAACAGGTAAGGCATCTAATTCATCCACCCAGATTAAAAGGGTCTTTCTAAAAATAGGTCCATGTTTATTCTGTGCAAAAAATGATGGGGAGCACTGAAATGGAAGGCATTTTTTCAGCATTTGCCTGTGAAACGGTGTAAAACACGTTGTCTTACAGGAGCAGAAAAAAATATGTAGCCCACTCACTAGTGGATCAGTGGGAAAGAACAGCAAGATGTGGAAGAAACAATATCCCGGCATCTGAAGTCTGCAGTTTGTTTGAGATGCGTAGGATCTGAAATAAATAAAATCTTGCCCTGAAAACATTGTCTTAAATGTTTAGGACAGGCTGCTGGGAGACACAGGGGAGGGGTCGGGTGTTACCTGACGTCTGGTGTGGCAAAGTGATTGCACCAAGAGAGGGCAAAGGGAGCCCTCACAAAGGACTTATTTAAAAGTCCTTCCTTCCCTAAATAGAAAGAGGTAAAGGGGGAAAAGAAAAAAAAAAGGAGGATTGTTACCATATGAAGGATAACAAAATGATTTCTCGAATATCTGAATTGCTGTGTAACCTCAAGGGTGGTCACAACAACTCTTGGCTTGGCATCCTCAAAAAGGAATAGCTAAATCTCAGTCTGCTTTTAAATAATCCTTTGTCTCTGCACAACACTTACATCATTCAGATGCAACTCAGGAAGGTTGTTTTTTTTTAATGTAAGTATTTGTACTGAGAAATCTGCCAGGAGATGAGTAGGATGTGAAATTCAGCAGCCATATCAATTTTTGGAAGGGTGCATACGCACATTCCCCTGCAATAATTAGTGACTATGCTTTCTCAGTCAGAAATGAGTCAGTCTGAGACATTTAGTGAGGCTAGGATTCTTTTTGAGTTGTTTTTTTTCAGCTCCTCAACAAACCAATGCTGTTGGCTTGTCAGAAACATTTGTATTTAAATTATGGACTGACCCACCATTGTCCTTGGGTGTTCTGAGCATCCAACGCTATTCAGCATTTCAGTTTTGGTACTGAAAGTTGCAGGGGCCGTAGCAACTGCTTCTGTCATCAAGAGACATTGAATAAACGAGCCTTATTTTTGTGTTGTCCCTTCCATAACCACGGGAGGTTTGAAACACTTGATGCTGTGAGTCTCTCTGGCCCACACCATCCTCAGCGATGAAAAGCTGAAAAGGTAGCAAAGCTCTGGCTCAGATGGCCCCAGGTTCCTTGGCTTTTACTTATTTTTCTCAGCAATGTAGTAGGAAGAGTGCTGGAATGTTCCAGCACTGCATGCTCGATGGCTCTTTTAATAGTTTTTTCAAAAAGGAATAAAAATAACTCCAGACAGAAGATTTTAGCAGGGAAAACTGATAGGGAGGCTGGATTCCCTGCCACGTTACCTCATCCACAACAGACAGTTTTACTGTCAGATTCTCTTGAATAAACATTCCTGCTGACATTAGCCCATAGAGTGTCAGCAAATGGTAATGCTACAGGTAAGCCTGTTCCCTGGTTGTGGTGTCTGTATATTATTCCTCAGATAAAATTCTGGCTCCATCTCCACTGGTGGGAATTGTACTGTTGTTTTCACATGTGGCCAAGATTTCTACATCTCTGTAACAAAGATCCAGCTAAAAAACACCAAACAAACAGCTGAAACAGGTGGGCCAAGAGATTTCTATACAGCTCACCACACAATGACAGTCTGTTAATTTTAGGGTGTCATGCTGCTCCAAGCAAGCTGCTAGTGCACTGCAAGCAGGAAGGATTCCCTGCTTTCCCCCTTTCACTGTGACTGTGACAGCTTTTTAGCTTCCCCAGAAGCGGCACAGGAGACAGTTGGGAAGGAAAGTCTCCTATTTTGAGGGAACAACAAGATCCCATGCGTTCTATGGTAAGCAATAAGTGTCTCAGTGCTTTTTCATTATATTTTTGTTGCTGGGCCTTTCTGTGGAAATAGCAAGTAATTCTATGGCTGCAACTGGCCTGTCACAATGACTCGTGTTTTTATTAGAAGATGCCAAAATATGCCAAGTCACCACATACCAGCAAGCCATTCAAGTTTTTCATCAGCTGGGATTGGTAAAAAGCTGATGAACCAGTTAGTGGGGGTCACTGCTGTGGTTAGAGATGAGGAAGGTGATACGGGGGAGAGGAAATCAAAGCAGGAAAAGACCCAGCTTCGTACTTTTAAGTTCAAAGTGCTAGGATTAGATGCTGAACATGTGGAGGGAACTGAGTATAGGAAGGAATCATGAAGTCCTTATCTTCAAAATGGGGAAAGTGAACACACAGAGGGGTAAGGGCTCATGAACTGGAGCAAACAGAGAAACTGAGGCACTGGATGGGCTCAAAGCCAGACCATGCAGAGGAACTGTTAATATTTAGATGTGTAGGAGAAACCTTTAAGTAGAAGTGGTAGTCTGTCCAAAAGTCTCCCCTGCCTAGGAGAGGGGAGCCAATTTTTATTAGCAGCTAAAACAGGAGCTGAAATGGGGCAACTGAGAGGTCGGTCCTGCGGCGAAGGGAAAAGCAGGATTTTCTTTGCTTTTACACCTGGAAGAAGTTATCTGGAAAGAAATCCTTTGGAGTGTTTGCTTCTCTTTCAGTGCTGGACAAACTCTGCTTTATTATTTAGCATGAGAAGATGAAGTGATATCAGATCATTGCCTTTGAAGAACGAGTTCCTTACCGTCTTTTAAAGCGTGCTGGAAGAGCGGCTTGGCCTGGAGGTGTCCTGGTAGGGCAGCCCAGAGCAGTAGGTAGGGATTTCTCTGCTGATTGTAATGCCTTTGATCAGACCACGCTGATCTGTCAGTAAAATGTCAAACACCTAAAAAAAAAATGAAGGCAGTACCAGCACGAATGTCTTGTCAGAGCTGGCAATGATGGCACAGGCAGTCACAAGATGTTCACATTAACTGTAAGGCACAGAGGAGACATCTGTCACATAAAGTGCTTCGTGGCTCTAAATTTGGATGGAAAACACAAATTTTGGTGGGAAACGCAGATGCCATCTCGGACGCTGTCCACAGGACTCTCCTTCCAGGGACTTTTCCTTGTCCCATCTGTGGGGCTGACTGAATATTTCTGTTATCTGGATATTTTCTCCCAGGGGAAATGCTGGACCCAGAGCAGAATTTTCCTTTGCAGCCTGGGCTGAGCTGAAACCTTCCTTTCCTGATTGCCATTTGCACTGTATCTTTTGAGATGGTTTTTTTGCAAGACAATCAGGACAGTTCACCATGTTTCCTACTGTGGCAACATCTTTTTTGTCACATGTCACATGAGCTGGTCCTGAGGCACCCAGTGAAATCCTTGAGGGTGTTAGACAGGGATGGGTCTTGATCCACCTCCCCATATGGACAATGACTACCCTGGCCAGTCCTCTCCAACCCAAACCACTCCATAATCCTACAAAATCAGTAGCAAGGACACATCAGCTTCCCAAGATGGAATTATACAGTACATGTGGGAAATATGCTGGCAGTCATGCTTGTATTCTGGACTACAAATTTGGGCAGCTACAGGGATCATGTAAAATGGCTTCAGGACTGCAGTTGTCAATCTCCAACCCTGAATATTCTCTTCTTTCAAGTAAGTGAAGTGGGCAATGAACAGAGCTGGCAGAAAAATTAAAACCTTGACAGAAATGATGCTTCCAAGTTTTGTTTTTAAACTGATCTCAGTCAGGATTAATTTGTTTCTTTCTTTTATTGCTTTAATGTGCACAATTATAAAGGCCAGTGAAAGAAGTTAGCACATTTTCACCCACCATTTTTGCAAATTAAATGATTCCCTTAGTTTCATTTTCTGATTGTTAACAAATTTTTCTACTGTAGGATTTTTCATGAAAAACAAATTTATATGTGGAAAAATTTCAAACTGAAAAAGCTTTAAATTACACAAAATTTTCTGAATGGTTTATTATGTTTGGGGGATATTTTAAAACACTAAGAATGGGAGTTTTCACTGTTTTTTGTTACCATCAGAGGCAAAAAGTAATTTTCCATCTTGTTCTGCAAGACTGAGTTACCAGTTCCCACACTCAAGTTGCTTTTCAGATACTTGCATGTGTGAGCTGTTGTCTGACCATAATATCAGACGGATCTTAAAGGTATTAAAATTGGGCCCAAATGTTTAGCAACATTATCAACTGTTTAGAATTACTTTAATTACTTTAATTACTTTATGTCCCTCTGACCTTTTGTGAAATAACAAGGATTAAAACGGGAAAAAATCAGGGAGGAGAAGGTGGTACAGCTGTCCTGTACATCTGCCATCGCTGTACTTTATCTGCTGATAAAGGGACATTCCTTCAAATGCTTGGAACCACTGGATCTGTAAACTGCTTGTTATCCTACTGCAGGGAAATGGGGTTGGTGAGGCATGGAGTATCTTGGAACAAAGGGAATAAATATGTGACATATAAACTACCTTCAGCACCCCCCAGCCCCCCAAAAAAGGCCTAGTTAGTGTCTGCCCTCTCAGGCTAATAACCTGCCTGTGCTATGGAAAAGGAATTCCAGAACATGGATAATTGTGAGGTTTTCTGAAGAAATGCTGGCACTCATGACAAAGTCCTGTTGTCATATTTAAAGTCATATTTCTCGAGGTTGGGTTCGAGGAGAGAAACCTGGGCTGGTTTTTACACTATCTGGCCACCTCTGTGCCCCACGTGGATTTAAGAGAGAATCCTGCTCTCTCTTCCCCCACTGGTCGTATTTTTCCATCTCCTCCAGGCTGTATGACTGGTCACCCAACCTTTCAGTGAAGGAGGATTAGTGAGGATGACTTTGATATCTACTGGAAGTGCTGGGGAGTATAGGGCAGCTTTTGAAAGACAAGGTTTGTGAAGCCCTTTGGAGAACACTCCTCAAGGTACAAGACATGAGTGTAGGAAAGATGCCCACGTAGATTGGGAAGGCCCGTGCTGGGCAAAGCCCTGAGGTGTGACTTTAACCAGCTGTGAAAGGACCTCCCAGTGATTTATGATGTGCCCCGATGATGGAGCACACACCAATCAGAGAGTGATTAATATTCTTGTCATAACTGGAAAGAAATGGGCAGCCTGCCAGGGAGATTTGTCCGTGAAAGCAGAAGACCAATTCAGTGCACCAGGAGTGACTCGGTAATACGAGACTGATTGAACACATGGAGATTTTTATTAAAGATAAGATCCCTCCAGGGAAAGGTGTTTTCATAAGCCAGGCAGGCCTCATAGTAAAGAAGAACTTGAATGTGAAGAAGACATGACTGACAGAAGGGATTTTTAGGGAACCACTTGCTTTCCAGCCACTGAGTTTGGGGATTTGTACTTATTTCAGAGTTTTGGTTATTATATGATTATTCCTAACAGAAAGTCAAAAAACCCTAATGAACCCTGTTGTTCTAAAGGCACCAAATCTGGCCTTTGTAATGCTTCTGATGTGTTCAGCCCTTCAGAAGGCAGAAGATATCTAGAAAAAAAAAAGGAAAAAAAAAAAATATATATGTTATATATATATAACATCGTGGTAGGTGTGAATGCGTTGGTAGTCTCAGACCAATTACTGGACACATTAAAACAAAACAAAAGCAGGGGCAATTAATACCGTCCTTATTAAATTAAATTTCAATCTATGAGGGTAAGGAGGAAAAAAGGATCTGCATAAAAAAACCCATTCAGATCACTGTAAGAAAATTTAGATCCTTTGTTATGGAAATAGGCCCAGTGTTTCCACTGGAATTATATGCAGAGGAAGACCTACAGTGTGGAACTGTAGGAAAATATTAGGTGAGAGAGAACAAGAAAACAAACAACTAAATTTAACAAGTTATGTGTTGCAGACAACAATTACCTGGCTGCAGCCCCCAGGGTGTGAGCTCAGGACATCTGGCAAACAGCAACAGAACTGTGCTTGTAGCCCTCCCTTTTCTTACATATTTACACACATCTCAGTCTTTAATCTTTGCTTGGCTGTAGCATAATGGACGTTTTTCATGGAAAAAAGCAGGCTGAATAGCTAAGAAATGCCTATTTCTCAACAGGGCTCCGGAACAAACAAATGGTAAGACAATTTTTCAGAAAACGGCATCAGTTCTGAAAGGAGAGGGTGTGAAACGTGTATGGAATGTTTCTCAGCTGGTAAAATGCCACGTGCACATTAAAATCAGATCCATACAGAAGGGCAAATCCTGGATTGCTTTCTTGATATTCTGCAGAGATTTGCCTCTTGCTGAGTTAGGTGGGAACACAGCCCAAGCAGAGACTTTGGCATTTGTCTCTTTCCTCCTTTCAGCTGTTATTTTTCTGATAGATTGAGAAGTTTCTGTAGCACTAAAACAGAATAAATAGCATTGTCTTACAGGAGCTTTCTATCTACCCTTTAGTATTTGGCTTTGGCAAACAGAGTGGGATTCCTAGATCATACACCACAGCATGCAGAGACAGCACTGATGGTAATACTGATCACTTCCCACAGCACACAGAGACAGCACTAGTGGCAATACTGACCACTTCTCCAGCTCTGAAAAAAAAAAATAAATCCAGGTAAAACTGCCCATAAAAATCACCCTTTGGGTTTAAAAAGGAAATAGCCAGCAAATCTGTGCCACAAGGGGAGCCAGAAAGTTATTCAGCTGCAGAATGAGTTGTAATAATCAGACAACTACTAAGATGAGGGCTGTTGGAAAGAAAACCAAAAGATAGAAAAGCTTGTCCTGGCTTTCATGATGAAAATGCCAATTAAGAGGAAACTCTGAGCCTGGTAAGGGCAGAAGGTTCAGCGTAAGCCTTTTGAACTCTTTGAACTTCCAAGTCTTGCAAATAGACCACCAGTTATGTAATTAAAATTCACCTCCCCCCAACAGGAGAAACCCTGGAATAGCTAAAGGCTTCAGAACTGGTCACAGAGAGACTGAGTCAGGCACTGGCTCGGGTTGGTGCAGATGGAACTGAGTAAGCCAGAGGCATTCCTGACAAGCTACACTACATAGCACTGCATCATCCCGTGGTGACACACAATGCATTTGGGGCCACAGCTTCCTCTAGTGGAACCAATTAGTTGATCCACCAGATCTGTGACGATTTATTTACAGCAAACAATAAGAAAAAAGAATATATAAAAATATTTACACATAAGCACCAGATTCTAAAATGAAACGCGTACAAAGCCTAAGCTCGGAGATGTTCCCTGTGGAACAGAAAAGGGATCTGAATCAAGAACTTGATATTTTTAGTTGCCTTTAGAGATCACAGATATTTTTTAATGGGTAGGTTGAGCTGAGTGCTTTGGCCTGAAGTGATCTACCTATGTGATACCCTGCTCTTCCCCACTCCCCTGTGGAACCATCAAGATCATTGGCAGTGCCCTAAAATAAAGCAGAGATTCTCCTGTCATCTTAAATTATGTGCTGCTCTAGTATTTCCAGGGGAGAAGGAACATCTAATGTATTCCACAAATCAACAAGAATAGCATTTCTGTCTTTTCATTCCCTCAAAACCTTTTACAGTCTTTGGTTTTCCTTTGCATCTTGTGGTAAGAACAAGAATATTTTTCTACCTTCAAACCCATGGACATGTTCTCCAAAATGGTGTCTAACACTTCTGAAGTATTTAAAAAAGAAGCAAGACCTCTGTGGTTTATAAAAGGCAGAGAAATTGTTTCTCAAAAGGTGCAGCAGTGTTAAAGATAACTTCTGCCATTAATGAAACAAGAGATCAACACAACCAAAAACATCTACCACTGATTGTTTCAGAGTTTTCTAACAAAATGAGGCTTATGTTTCTCTGTGTGTGTGTGTGTTCATTTCCCTTTACAATCACTTTTGAACCCATTTTGGTCCAATTTGGAGGAAACCTAAATGTGCTGGAGTTACAAGTTCCCTAAAATTTTCAGAGAAATAGTTTACCAAAAGCAGTTTTGTAAAGGAAAACAAAAGAGGCACAATAAGGGAGAAGGAAAAGACATGACAAGAACTAAGGATGCTGGCAGGAAAGCATGAGAGAACATCCTGACCAAGGCCTGGTGTAAGGACAGGGTAGTAGAAAATTAGGGTCACTCAGGACAGGAAGCCTTGGGGAGTCAGATGCATTCATTAACAATTGGTCTTAATTACCTTAAAGGTCTTTTCCAACCTTAATGATTCTATGTTTCTGATGCTCACAGAACAAGCAAATTTTGGTTTTATGTTATAAATACACAAATATCCTTAGATCACTGGAACCTGTTCTGGCAGAGTAGGGTGAAGGCACAGTGTCTTGGGTCTTTGTATCACTAGCAAATTATGCTTTGTGGAGATAGATTCTAATTGCAGTTTTATGTGTATTTTTCTCCTTAGGGAAACCACTTTTCACGTGATAGCATCTGCATACAGCATTTAAGGTATTTTGTGTTAATTTGGTCTGTTGAAAAATCAACATTTGTCCTAAAGATGGATAATTCTCCCTCTTTCATAACCAAAAATCTGAGGCATATTAAAACTGAGTGACAAATCTAGGCTGTAATGTCAATCCCAGACCCGACACCGTAGTCCAAGAGCCCAGACCACCAATTCAGATGTCAGTTTGCTGTTGGGCTAAGAACAACTATTTCCCAAATATCTGTTATGAGTCGTGTGGGGTTGTTTGTCTCCCTACCAGGAACAGTTTCCTGATCAAATGACCTACCTGATATTACTTTTGGTCCCTCTTCAGGTGTTCTCCTAGCAAATGAATGCCTGTAACAGATTAAAACCCTCTTCAAATCAGTGCAACTTGTGCTCTGAATCAACAAAAATTCCTCCCCGAACTTCTCTTAATACATTTTAAAATAATGCTGAGACAAGTAAACAGAAAAGAAATGACCACTGCAGCTTCATAAAATCGGCTTCCAATTTTCTAATTCTAGCAATAAAAAGGCACCACAGCACAGTCTTCATTTTCTACGTTTCTCACAAGGTTTCTCCTGCAGTGAAAAGAGACCTGACTGTCACTTTTTTTGTGTGTAAAAGCCTTTTCTAAGCTGTTAAACAATCCAGTGCTGGACATCCTGGAATAATAGAGTAATGGTAGATTAATGATGCACAAAAGATCATTAATCACCATGTTAATAACAGATAGGATGATGTGCTGCAGTCACAAATCCTTGGCTAAATTTCGTTATGGGTAATTGCATCCCACTCACCAAGTGTTGCTTGGCTGTCCTGGGTACTGAGAGGATTGTCCCTCTGTCACAGCCCCAGAGGTGGGTGCATTTCTGCCTGTGCAACGTGACAGATGGCTTCAAGTCCTTTGGGACACTTTGCATGTAACTCATGGAGCAGCACTGGAATTCAAAGGAACAGATGTTCCTGGAATATCTGGGAAGAATATGAGCATCTCCATTTACTTTTAGTATAAATGTATTCAAGGCTGTTAAATTTCCCCACATATATATATAAAAAAATATCATTGCTTTCATGATTTAAAAGGCATTTGCCATTGGGTGGATTTTTATTATTTGGTTTGTGGGTTTTTTTTTTTTAATCTGCCTGCTAATATTAAAAACAAACTAGATTTTAGACAGGAAAGGGAAGATGGAAGAAATAAATAAATCTTTGTGTAACACAGCAGGAAAATTTCCAGCCACGGAGTAGTCCTACATAGTGACTGCAAATCATCTAGTGATTTGGGTTGTTTTCACAGTGAAATCCGCAATATCAACAGAACATAAAGATTAACTGCAATTCTAGTGCTTTGGTGGCTTTTACCACTAGAGGGCTGAAGGAACAGCTTCAACAGGAGCTGGATTATCTGAAAATTAGGCATTGACATCAGAGTTAATAACAAGAATTTACATGCTTAAAAAGAAGATATTCCTCCATTAAAAAAAAAAAAAAAAAAAAGGTGCAGTTTTCAGATAATTCTATGCTGTTTTGTTTTGGTTTTTAAATGGCTCTTGTTACCCTCTCAGAAAGCAATAGCAACTTGCCAAAATTACCCTGAGCAAATTACCTCCAGTTCGGCCAAAAACTGGAAATCACCCTGAAAAATGAGTGTGCAACTTCTTTCCTCAACCACATTTCACTCCTTGTGCTTATTAGGCTGTTGGCAGAGCAATGCAATAACATTCTAGCACCTGAATAATGGCATCTGAAAGAGCAGCCCCATTTTACAAGCTCTGAGCTGCCGTACATCCCACTCAGCTGAAGCAGTGGAAAAGCTGCACGACTCTGCTTGACAAAATCCACAGGCACAGTTTAAATTGTGGCCAGCTCCCCTGCTAGGTTTGTCCATTTGCCCCCGTGATCGCGGCCCAGAGTTCCAAATTCCTGTTTCCAAAAAGCGCAAGCCGGTTGAGAGGGGATTGTGTGGATGTGTGTGCTCTGCCTGGACAGATGCACTCCTCAGCTTCAGCTGGAGCATGTTCTCCTGGGGACACAACAGGAGGAGGATGGACAGTTTTTGTGGTGCTGTAGAGATACAGAGACGAGATCTGATCCAGACTGTTCAACTCTCGCCGCGCTTGTTTTGTAGCGTATAAATTACCTTGCACAGCAAAGAGCAAGGGGATTTCATAAAATACATGTTTGGACACTGCTGAACAAACCTCCAAAGGGCAAAATAATCTATGAAGTACCATCAACCCGGCTTTGTGTAGTTTGACCTGGGACTGAGGAATCTTTGCGGGTTGGTGTGCAGAAATTTGGCAGAGACGCATCTTTGGTTTGTGTCTACACGTGGACACTGCACCTAAATCCTCAGATGGATGGGATTGTGTGATTTTTTTCAGGAGACTTGTCGAGTTGTTGCTGTGAATCATCACGGCTCTAGGGGAATAAATCAAAAACCAACCTAAGCTTTTCAGGAAGTGACCCTTGCAAACTCTCAGGGAGAATGAGGAAGCTCCTGGTTTAACACAATCTTTTTGTCACATATTTCTGCCTCTTAAGCCAAGGCATGGCACAAGGCTTTATTTCAACAAATTTTTTTTTTAATTATTGAATATTTTTTCAGTAGTTTACTGGAAAAAAAAAAGAATTTACAAAGCCATTGCTTCTTCCAGACAGCCTTCTTCCTGGTGGCTTGGCAAGGAGATCATTATTTGGGCATTGCTGTGTGATTTTGCAGTTTCATAGTCCCAAAGAAGGTAAAAAATTGCTTTGTTCTTAAGGTGACACCAAATTACTTTGGATTTAATGGACAGCTACCACAAATAGGAGTGAGAATTAGATCACAGTTTTTGTGGCATATTTATGCTGTCCTCAGTCCCAAAAGACTCTGTATTACAGACATGCATTTCATGGCATAGCTAAGATTTTAAGCACATTTTTTTCCTGAAGATGATTAAGAGCATTAAGAGGGCAGTATTTTGTCACCTTTGAGTAGATAATAAGGGAGTATAATATATTATGTATTATATAATACATATATGTATTATATATATATATTAAGTAGATAATAAGTAGATAAAACAGGGATAATAAAATGTCTTAGATTTTATATGTATGATCATATGAATTTAAAGTAACATATATGATTATTTTTCAAAATGGATCACAAAATACACATTCATTTTGTAAGTTCTGCATGCACAACACTTGGGAAGGGGAAAATCCATTTTTGCAGTCTATCAACAGCAAAGATAAGATCAAAAATGGAATTTAAATAACTAGTATTTTTAAACTACTGCTATGTACCATGGTGAAAATTTTAGGTTTTTCTTCACAAAGACTAAAACTTTGAGAAAAAGAAATTTATACTGGTGTAAATTATAAAGGACTTTGTAGTCCTTTAAAAGAATGATAGTATATTTAGGCACTCTTCTTAGGGTAATTGTGGAAGATTTTGAGATTAGATATACACCAATAATAAAAAAATGAGCTAAGAAGCACATCTGTAATTCTTCATCTCTGAAAGAGAAGTTGAAGTATGTCAATTAGAGGTTTGTGAAAAGGAGCTATTGATAGAAATAAAAGGGCAAGTAAGGACTCAATCCTTTAGCCTTCACATGAGCAAAAGGAAAAGAAAATCTTGTGAGGTGAAGAAAACAGTATTTAATTGCAAGATTTCAGGATGAAACAATAAGCTTTCTGCTCCGTGTGAGAAAACCCCAGAGTCATCTGCAGCCTCCTGCATCACACCATGTCACCCCACAGATGTTGGTAGAGCCTTTTCAGAGCTGCATTTTTTAGTGGGCGACTTTGGGTTGAATCTCCTTCCTCCTGGTCAATCCCTTTAGCAGTGATTATTTGGGCTGGAATGTTCTGCACAGCTTCCTATTTCCCCTGACACCAGTGGAAAGAGCTCACAGTGATTTCACTCGAGTTTGAATTAGGCCTTCTGCAAGTGAAGTCTGTCTGTGACAGGTATTTTCTTATAAAAATAATTATTGATCGTTTTAATTAATGTTATGTGTTGTTTCTTCCAGAAATGGCTCGTTCTACCAACATTAAGTGCTTAATGTTAAAAAAAAGCTAACAAGACTGCAGATATTTTGTAATACTAATGAGATTAGCTTTCTGCTCCTCCTATTAGTGCCTCATGTGAAACCAAACCAGCTGAGCTTGATCAGGGTGTGACTCAGTAATGTCTGGATATAACATCACAGACATAGAATTTCTATTTCAGAGAGCTACAGCAGCAGCTTAGTCACTGTAGGATTTTACTGTACCAGGGTTCTTTGCTCGTTTGCATATTTTATCCAATTAAGGACTAACTAATTCTCCTCTAGCAAAAGCCTGCAACCAGGAATGTCTCACCTGGACTTTTGGTCCATTTTCGTGTGATGTGACATGATAAATTATTTCTCTTTCCCAAATCCATCACCATTTATTTCTTAAATGCCATTATTTTACTAATAATTATTGCTGCTATTCAGTGGCCACAGCATCAGTGCTGAGCTTTCTAAAAAAAGGGGCCAGAGCTCCCTGCACAGAGCGTTTAAATAAACAAGTCACCCTTGCCCTGCAGGCTTTACAGTCTCAAATTCCAGCTCAGGAAAGAGCTCAGTACCTTTCTGAAAGGCTTGAGTTACAGAATACAATCCCATTTCATCCATCCCTGCAAAACAATATCCTGTTCCTGCTGCCTCTTAGAAAAAAAATCTATTAATATGGGTTTCCTTTGAGCATCTGCAATGGCACACTGGAGCCATGAAACACTGGGAAGACGGGCTTATATAACTGTGCAGCTTTTCTTCTTCTGGGAAAAATTCCTTTCGGGTTTGTGATGGCAGTGAAGATGCTGTAAACCACATTCAGTGCCTACCATGATTTATAAATCAGGTCTGTGATATGATGCTAATTAGCAACATTTCAATTACATATTGTTTTAATTTATTTTCTATTTGTAGTTCTTTTACAGCTTTGAAAGGGAACACTGAAATTCTACATGGATCAGTCATTATGGGAATTTCAATACTAAAATAATTGGTCTGGCGTAGATGTGCTTTGACGCCGTGAAGCTTCATTAACCCTCCAGCAGAGGGCAACATGTGAAAAAAATATTTATATAAATCCAAAGAGCAGTTGCTTTTAGGCTATTGCAGCTACAACACACCTTTTCATCAGGGAATCCTACTTTAGAAAAACACCATTTACATTTAGTCACCAACTGGGCGAGTGAAGTATCTTAATAATTTTGGAAGGATTTGTCCGGAGCACAAGTTATCATTTTTAAGTAACACAGGAACTTTAAGATTAACAGGAAACCTAAGAGAAATATAATGGTTACGACTTAAAAAACAAATACCACGTTTCGCGTCTTCAGTTTGCTCCGGTGTGATAAAAGGTGGGAAATTACGTTCATTGCAGTGCTGTAAATACCACAAATCAAGGCCGAGCGTTACACTGGCCTACTCAGAGGCGTGAAAACAGAGGGCACGAAAGAGATGAGAAACACCAAACGCTTAAGAGAAAGCGGTCACTAATGGGTCCTTAACATGACACAAAAGCAAGAAGCTGCGCGGGTAGACGCGGACCTGGAGGATAAACACACCTATGGAACGTTATCCACACACACACGCCTATGGAACGGTGTTATCCGTTCATCGGCGCTGCCGCAGCAGCGTTATCCGCAGTTCTGCCCCGTTTCGCCGGGAAGCAGCGAGCCCTCGGGGCCACGTCCTTCCTCCCGCACCCGCGGGTCGGCGGGCACCGCGTGGGGCCGGGCCGGAGCCCTCGGGGCTTGGAGGGAGCGAATCCTCCCGATGCCGAAGGCGCGGCCGCTGCGGGCTCGGGGGCGCGGCGCTGGCCGCGGTGCTGAAGGGCCGCATCGCCCGGGGCTCCGCGCCGCCCGTGGCGGGGGGGATTCTCCCGTGGGGGGGAGGTTCTCTCGTGGGGGAGGTTCTCTCGTGGGGAGCTCCGTGTGTGCCCGCCGCGCTCCCCCCACCCCACCCCGCGCCAGCGCAGAGCCCGCACCGCCTCCGAGCGCTCGGCACGGGGCTCCTCCGTCCCCTCCCTCCTCCCAGCCGGGCATGGCTCTGCCTCCACCACCCGCCGCCCCCGCCGGAGCCCGCGGGGACCGGGAGGCTCGGTGACCGTGCCCGGCTCCCCCGCGCTGCCCGGCGGCGCGCTCGGGCTCCGCGCACACGGGCGCGCTCCCTGCGCCCTCTCCGCCGCCACCACCCCTCCCTCCTCCCCGCTGCCCGCGGCTCCCCCCCGCTCACACACGCGCGCACGATTCCTCCCCGGTCCGCCTTCTCCCCGCATGAGCCGCTGGACGAGGGAGAAAAGTTCAGGGATTAAACCAACATGAACCGCCGCCGCTCGTAGCGGTGCCCTGCGCAGAGCGGAGCGGAACCCAGCGAGCATCCCCCGCAGGAATGGAGTCGGTAAAACAAAGGATTTTGACCCCCGGCAAGGAGGGATTGAAGAATTTCGCCGGTAAATCGCTCGGTCAGCTCTACAGGTAAGACTGACCTAGGTCTCTTGTAGGGCTCTACTTCCTAGAAGGAAAATTGGAAGGTTTTGTTAACCGCCCGCTGCTGAAGGAGGTCGAATGGTTGGGGGGGGTTAGGGTGGGAGCTGCTGAGATACTGCTGGATATGATCTGGATCCTGGAAACTAGTGCTGAAGCTGCTCAATATGGCACCCTCGTAACTTCTCTATCTGATTCGTAGATGGTGTCAGCAAATATGTAGCGAAAGATTACCCCATCTTTCTCCCACAAAAACAGGATCCCATCTTGAAATCATAATCAGGAGAGGGCAGCAACCTGTATTTTTGTTCTGTCTTAATTTTGCAAAGCAGTCACAGGATCTTTCCCCCTGCCCTTAACAAAGCTTAAAACAAAAACAATTCTGGTTTTGATTAATATTGTCTTTTGTGTAATTCGTCGTCAGAGGAAGATGGAGATATATAAATAATTGATATCTGAACGATTTTTTTTCTCCTGAAGCTGAAACATATAGAAGAATGTGTTTAATTATTTATCCATCTGCCCTGAGAAGCATCTGCTTATCCTATAAGCGATACAGAACTGCAGTTGCTAAACTCAAAAGCATCACTCCTGTACGTTTCTGCGTGTAAAGAACATTTCTACCGTCTTGGAGCCCTGTGCAGGCAGATAAACAAGCCCAAATTCTTGCATACCTGAGAAGTGTATGCACTGAAGTTCACACAAGTGCTCCGTCCAATCTAGCGACTTTAGTGACCTCCAGAACGTTTGAGACTGGTCTGCGAAATTCCGATATATTTTCAAATTGTACCGTCTGCTAGAAATTACTGCGAAGTGTTGCTTTTGGTTTGTTTGCTTTGGTGTTTTGCTTTTTTTTTTTCTCCCGAATTACAGTTGTAAGGTAACTGCGGATTTGTCTGCCCAGGGTAGGTCACGTAAAAGTCTTTTTTTTTTTTTTTTTTTTTTTTTTCCCCATACCTATGCGGCAGTGCTGGGCACAGGCACAAGGCTGTTTCACAGCATGAGTCACAACTTCTGCTGCCATTTTAAGGAAAGGGGACATATCAGCGAAGTGATAAAGACAAGATTAAGATTTCAATTTTCGTAGGAAGTGTACCATTAAGAAAAGACAAAAGCAAAATTAAGGTCATCAACAACACAGTGAATTCCCTACTT